TCAGGCTCTGCAGCTCCTTCATCGTCTTCTCCAGAAGCCTGAACTGTTTGGGCAACTGGATGGTGAGGGGAGGCAGGGTGAGCTGGTAAGGGCAATCCTCCCCCTCCTCTGCCCCGGCCCCGGAGCTCCCGCACTGGCCCGAGGGTCTCAGTTTCATGGGGCAAGAGGTGGGGGTACCAGATTCAGATCCCAACGAGTAGGTTCCTCTAGCGTCCCATCTCTGGTGTGAGTTGACGGGGGAGTCTGCTGCCCGGCTGGCGCGCGGCACCAAGGTGGCTGTAAGCAGGAGACTGGCACAAACGCAAAGCACAATTGTTCTCATTTTTCTTCTGTGTGAGATTTGTAAATGAGAAATAAGTGTGTGTAAAGTGAGACTGTCTGCAACTGCCTCTGATCTAAACTCAAAAAGTGTCTGGATGCGTAGAGTGTGTGTGTGTGTGTGTGTGTGTGTGTGTGTGTGTGTGTGTGGAATGTGTGTGAATGTGAGTGTATGTCTGCGCCCGCAGCTGCAGATTGTAAGTATAGGTGTATGTGAATGTGTGTCCAGTATCCTATTGGTTTAAGAGTGTGTGTGTGTGTGTGTGTGTATGAGCACAGCCTGCAGGAGGGAGAGCGCGCAGGGGAACTGCCTTTGCCTCAGAAAGCTGTGTCATTAATATCAGGACGAGTGAGGGAGGGAGGGACAGAGAGAGAGAGAGAGAGAGGCGGAGAGAGAGAGAGATGGGAGAGGGAGGGTGCTGAGTTAGAGAGGATGGGAGGGGCAGCACTATTGCGTAATGCAAAACACCATATCAGCAGCACTGTGAAAAACCAGAGATGCAGACAGAAATTATGGGAGAGGGGGAGGAAAGGATAGAGAGAGAGAGAGGAGGGAGGGACATAGAGAGAGAAGGTAGGTCCTTCGTCCCGTACTCAGCGCATGGTGTTGTCCTGCTCACTCTGAAGTCGGCTCATTTCCCCAAAGAGCGAAATGACTCACTGCACAGGAACTATCCACTCAACTGACGTGAGGGTGATGTTTTTTTCACGCTTTGTTGTTTTATGTTTTTAGATGTCCGCAGCACAAAATTTAAAAGCCTCGTCCCCTGACCCAGTTCAGACTCCAAAGCCTTATTTAAAACGCCGGGTCACCTCCGCCAGTCACTCTCCACTTCCAAATTAGGCTCAGGTGGGCACAATTACTGTAAAATCCATGATTAGCCAGCAGCAACCATAAAGTGTGTTTATTTCCATTAGTACAAACAACTTGTTTTTCTGTATTTACAATGCTTGCTCAGGGTTTTGCAAATTGAGCACAACAACCATCAGAGACATCCGAATCAGTTTTCCCCGAATCCTTATGGGCATCCTTGAATATTGAGCACCTGCAGATTCAGTATTTAGTTTTTCCTACGTAACACAGCTGCAAATTGCACAAACTGTCCATTAAGATAAGTAAAGCTCATTCGATTTTAAATATGTTCTGATGGCTAAATAGCACAGCCTATATCACTTTGGATCTTTGATGGTTTCCCATATTTTTGTTAATGTCATAATTTAAGCCTTTCTATCTCTTGCATGAACAAAATATGGAAATTTAAAAGCAATTTCCAACCAACAGCCCCAAGTATACCTGCAACATGTCACTGAAATAAATGCAAAACAGCCTCTTTTTTTTTTTTTTTTTTTTTTTTTTTTTTACTCTCTTAGTTCACCTTACTGGCTGTCAGTGTAGGCATCATTAATTGAAACTGCTGGCTGCTCTTTATTTATTTGTGCCGCACAATGATTGTCTGACACATTTAGCACCAATTGGAAGTGTCTTGTTTTGGGACCCCCTTGAAAACAAGATGATACATCCCGAGGGGTTTATACTAATCTATTCATCAATGCCTTGGTTGGCTTTTTAGAGAACTTGCTAAGTTCTAAGTCAACTTTATTTCCCTAAAATGAAAGTTTTTATATCACTTGCCTCCTCCTTTGGGAGATCAAAGGTCAGAAAATTGGTTTTTCAACACAGCGGATGTAGGGCGGCGGGCGAGTTTGAACTCCATTCTGTGGCCCCAGCTGTTAATAAAGTTACACAATCTGCAACTTTATAATTTAAAATGTATTAAACATTTTAATTGCTGTGATGTCACCACTGATGGGATTATGAAATGGTTTACGTAGTTTGTTACAATATAAACAAAGCAAACAGATAATAATTAAAATCTCTTTATGAATAAACAACACACTTGTTTTGCCTGCAATGATGATGTGGTCAATTTTGGTGGTTTTTCAAATTGCACTCATACACTCCCATAAACATTATTCATACATTAGGCAATCTTATGGAGCATCTTATTATCAACAATTATTAAGCTATTAAAATTAATTGTTTATCCTGCAGAGTGTACAGTTCTTCGTTTTGGATCCTTGCCCAGAAACATTTACAGTCTGGATGTTACCCTACTTGGAGACTTTGTTATAAACTTGTAGTAAGTTCATCAACTTGGCACAGTTTGTTTGTTTGTTTGTTTTTGTGGGACATGGCAATTGTTTCAGTATATTAAGTGATTCATAACCATGGGTCATGTAGTTGGATTTTTTTTCTCTGGGGTGTTAGATGTCTCATGCACAAGTCATATTTCTGGAGAAGTGACACAGTTTCGGATAATTGATTTCAGCTACAGAAGTGGCTCGCAGCCCTGACAGAGGAACGCTCCAGAAAGGAAAATATTACTGCACAAAACTTCTCCTAACAAAGTCATTCAGTTTAGCTGTAAACTCAACTCAATCAGTCAATATCTGGACATGAAGGTAGAGATACACAGAGAGGGAGATGGTGGTTCTCTCCATCACACACTGGGATTCAACGCTGTGCCTCTGTGGTCATTATTTTTCTCCCCAAGGGTGCAGAGTTTTAAAGCCCACAGGTTCTTTTTGTTACACATTTCACATACTGTAACTGCTGCACTGTGCAGTCATATTACCGGAAAGGTTTACTGCGGCTGTGTGTGTGTGTGTGTGTGTGTGTGTGTGTAAATATCTTCCAGTGATTGTCTCTATCTCACTTCAAAGATGGTCCACCACATGTGAGCCTTATGCAGCCACCCCATAAAAACCTCCAATGCTCTATACTGCTGAAGATAAGTCTTGGCACCAGAATTAGAAAGGCTGCCTGAAACCGCTTCAGGCTGCTTCTCTCAGATAAATGCCCAGCGTATGGCCAGGATGTCTGTCGCATCACTGGTATGTCTTCCACGTAGCTGAAAACACAACACTGGCCATATTTGATGTGTTATTTAGCCTCATAATCAGTTTTTAAGATGTTATTTCAGTGCAGTGAGATAATTTCACATGTTCCCTTAATTTGCTTTTTTTAGGACACAATATTAGATTACATGACTAAGGTTCAAATTGGAGATTAGTTAGGACCAGATGACCCACTTACCATTTCAAGATGTTGGAATGAGAGATTGAACTATACTTTTGAATGTTTTTAAAAGTGGATAGTTTAATACTAGTCAGGTGTAGTGATGTGACCTTGGGTGACTGCTAATGCAAACTGACTGAAATACATCTGAATAAATCATATTAACAAGAGCCTCAATCTGCATCTTTAGCAACAATCATATCTCTGTCCTTTCAGCCCTTGGAACGTGGTCGGTTACTTGCGAGCACATTTGACAATAGCCAGATAAACAATATAATGGAATGAATCTAAAAACATAATCGGCTATCCCTAATGTTCGAAGTCGGGGAGAGTTATCAGTCCGCGCGCGCGTTTGTATAATCAGAATGTTTGTGTGTGTTCACTGCCGTTACACGGTCCGACCTGAGATATCCTCAGTTCTGCAGCTCTTTGATACAGACAAGGCTATCATTCATTACTCCCCACTATAGCAGCCTGGCTCTGAAGATAAGAGGGGAACAACACCTGTCTTCTGTTTCTATCACTGTTACACACACACAGAACTACCTTGCCACATAGAGAAATTTATCAGCAACTCTTAGTGATCATTTTCCCCTTTTTTTTTTTTTTTTGCAATGCTCTTGACCTGATATCTTTTGTTTGGTTTTTACCAAGGTTTCACAGCTGTGTATCTTTGCTATCAACATGTTTCAAATCATTCAAGGCTAATGGTACCTGTAATCTCAACAACTGTAGTTACCGTTATATATGCGCCATTTTCAATGATTTTTCTTCTCCTTTTGAGATTGCAGATAGCTGGGGGTTTGTTTTTATACTGATTGTGATAAGGTGTTCTGATACTGTGATATCTGCTATGTTGATAAAAGTTTATTCAGTCCAACTTGGGTTAAATCCTCTTTACAGACATCAGGGAGTTGGGCTTTGTTGTGGTCGATCACACTTTGTGTTGGCGAGTCCAGACAGATATAAAGGAGCTTTTTCTTACAACAGTCATTGAAGTTTAAGCATATTACCACAGAAACAAAGCAATTTTTGTTCAAAAAAAGTTTTGACTATTAAGGCATTTCAAACTCTTTTGGAGTCTCTAGTGATTTAGCTTTCTTCTTCTTCTACTCCTGGAACTTAATTTTGTCACTAAACAATATTACAAAACTGCTTACTGGTCACAATTGTATCTGGTTCCTAGCAATATTGCCCTATTGAATATTCCGTCTGGTGAAAACGGCAACAAGAGATTTCCGCAGAATGTGATATTCTATTCATATCATAGCTTTTTATACAGGCAGCTTTGGGTCAGATCAAAGACTTTGAAATAGTGCAACCTGAACTGGCAAACCCATGCAGGAAGATTTGTAGCTCACTTAGCTGGATAAAGTTTAGGACTGCTGTAATGTCCAGATGTATCTGAGCTGTTCAGATGTGGATGATTGACACAGGGGAAATCCCAGCAACCAATCATACGCTGATGGGAAAAGTTGGTTACACACTTACTTACTACTACTAAATCCATAAATCATCAGTTATACCACCTGTCAATTCTTCTTTACAAACTGTTTCTTCATGTCCATGTGATTGGTAATGTTTCTGTTTTTATGCTCCTCAGTTCTTATCGTTGGGTAAAATCAGCCAGACCAAAGTAGCCAAACTGAAATCCAGCTTCAGGCTACTCCACAATACTCTGAAGAGGTATGTTTTCTCCATGGTACAAAAGTTCATTTGTAACCCTCTTGTTTGTGTCATGTTGCAATTTGGCGGTGCAGTATAACTGCAAAAATGCTGAGAATACAGTAGAGAAGTTCAATTCTCATGACAGCCAACTGAAGTGCCCTTGAAAAAGACTTCAACTCTTTATCAGATCTAGTCTGCTGCTCTTATATAGTATAGAAAAAATATAGAAGTAGCATCTGTTACATCAGCCACTGGCATCTGAAGAGACATTTTGAAGCCTATTACAAAAAAAACAAAAGCCTCACTAAAATAAACCTAATGGGACACTCTCAAAAACGCCACCAAGGCACATAAAAAAATAATTTTATTTTTTTTTTTTTTTTTTTTTTTTTAAAAAAAAAAAAAAATTTTTTTTTATTTTTTTTTTTAATTTTTTTTTTTTTTTTTTTAAAAAAACAACCCCTTTTTTTTTTTTTTTTTTATTTTTTTTTTTTTTTTTTTTATTTAAATAGGGGGGTGGGTTTTTTTTTTTTTTTTTTTCCAAGGTTTATTTATCTGATTGTTATTGCCTTTACATTTCCTGCAAAGCAGAATGTTCTCATGTAGAATAAATCATATAAAATTGAGCTAATATTTAGATTTCTAATTGACAAATATCAGTTTACTGCATACGGTACCAGATACTTCATCATTGTTTCATCCAACAGTACCCAGGATTCTGAGATCCAGCTTTTGGGAGAGGCAAAGAGGTGCCGTGCTCAGTTGGAAAGGCTGCAGAACGAGGTGGAGAGAACAGAGGAGCAGAGCACCTCTGAGCAGCCTGAAAGTGAGGTCAATGAACTGAGGCAGCAGCTCCTCCGGGCATACAATGAACTGAAAGCTGCCGAGGACAGAGAGTACAAGACACAACACAAACTGAAGTGGTGAGCTGTATATATACACGCATTATTATTGCAGTCACTCATGCTACATCAGATGTCAAATTAATAAAATGACAGTGACATTCGATTCAAGAAAATGCATCTGTTACGAACTTCTCTCAAATTTGGCTGCAGCTTTGTCTGTCTTACACACACACACTCACACACACACACACACACACACACACACACACACACACACACACACACACACACACACACAGATGAACTTCACACCACTGATAGGGTCCCAAGAGACAAAGGAGAGTAAGGACAAAACACTGAAGTGAAACTGGAGTGGTGAAAAGAGAAGTTGTGTACAGTAGGACAGCGCACACACAAACAAACACACACACAGTTCCAGTTAAGTAGCTAGGGACCAAACAAACTGAGGTGAGCTACAAGAGGCAGCATCTTTGCAAGTTTTCATTAACTTTAGAGGAAGGTGAAGGTGAAAGCATATAAGACAAACACACCCAAATAGTATTGCTGCTGTGTGTGTGTGTGTGTGTGTGTGTGTGTGTGTGTGTGTGTGTGTGTGTGTGTGTGTGTGTGTGTGTGTGTGTGTGTGTGTGTGTGTGTGTGTGTGTGTGTGTGTGTGTGTGTGTGTGTTGCTTGGCTACAGCTTTTTTTTCTGTACCACTGAAACTTCCCTGTAAGAAAATAGTCTATAATTATATAATATAATAATACACTGTTATTGTTAGGAGTGAATTTTATTGCCATTGCCTTAAACGTTGTTTGTCTTTTTAGTATAGCTACATTTTTTCATGGACACAACTCATGATACAAATACCAGGTTTAAGTGGATTTTTATGTTTGCTCTGGAGACATGTTTGTTCATCTGAGCTCTCTGCACTGGATCAGTCCTGTAGTCCTTCTGTTCCTCTCCTCTAATCCTTTCCTTTCGATCCCATGAGTCCCTTTTCTCATCGCAACCAATTTTCCTCTTTTCGACTGCAGGTTCCTCTTTTACTTCCCCCTACTCACTCAACACCACTATCAGTGTGTCCAAAGGGTCGAACACACCCACAGAAGTGGAAAATAACGCACTCACTCGAGTATCTCCCTCATACACAAACTCTTTTCAAAAGCCAAACAGAGGTTACTGGAACATTGCTAAGCAACATGATAACATATACCAGTAGTTTCCAAAGATGTTGGCTTATGACAGTTGAAAGCAAAGCAATATCTACTTGTGACCCCTCGTTAAAGTTTGCATAGGTCTTAAGGTTGTGGCCTGTTCAACTAAAAGGAATGTTTTCCTTCTTGGACTGAATTATTTTTAGATTGAAAAAGTGAAAATAACCAGAAATTCACAAAAAAAAGCAAAAACTGAACAAAGCTTAAATGTGTTTCAGGCAGTGGTAACAAGGTACAATCACTACAACTAACTGCAATAGGCTGAGACACCTGTCAATCAAAAACCTCTTTAAAATTAAATCCTTAATGGAACACTGATTCTCAAAAACGCCACCAAGGCACATAATGGAGGAAGTGAAATTAACTTGTGAGACCCCAATCTCTTGTGGAAAGAACAAATCTTTGTGTAATCTCTTGTAAAAACAAGAAGAAAAAATCTGAACGTGCACATTAAATCTAATTTGCTTAGTGATTTGTTTTTAGATTGAGACAGAAAGTGAAAATAACCCAGAAATTCACAAGAAAAAAAAACAAAAACTAGAAAAGGCGACATTTTTGAACAACACTTAAACGCTTCTTAATTTGCAGTTTTCGTGATAAACGTTAATTGTTTGTGTATGAGATTTTAAATGGGAGATGCACTTGAAGCAGTTAGTTGAACTGCTATTTAAAAGGATGGAAGTTGAACTCTAAATGATGAAAGCTCCTGAAATTTCAGAGTTGAAGCACCAACAGACACATTTGTATGCCGTTGCAGTTGAATTGTCACTTTGTATGTAAGAAATAAAAGTAGTCAAACTGTAAACTATGAAAGCACTGGAGATGCACGTTGAAGGTGAAGCACCAGAGACTGTTTGTGTGTGTGCAGTGTAAATATTTAGTGTCAGTTTGTGTGTAAGCAATGACAGCTCAAATACTTTGATATTTTAACTGCTGTCAGTTGAACGGTGAGCTCTGAAAGTAGTTGAAATGTCAGTTGGAGTAACCCAACTGTCAGTTTAAGGGCAAAAATTTGTTGTCATTTCAGCTGCTTTGAGCCTTTTACACACCAGCTGTCGGTTAAGGGGTAAGCAATAAAATCAGTTCAGTGCAAATTTCAATTGCTTTCATTGCTTCACTGGAACTAGGAATTGAACTGTGAGCAAATAGGAGAAAATAAAATGGCTATATTGTCAGTAAGTTCAAGAGAGAAAGAGACCATGATACATCACTGCAGGTTTGAACAATTGACAATGTTTAAAAAAGAGTCTGAAACTTCAATTCTGATTACTGAAAGAAGGTTATGATAAAGCTGAACTAAACAAGGCACTACCCTTTCCTCTTTATCATGTTAAAGTGTGAATTAAGTTTCTTCTAAAATAGGAATATACAGGAAAGTCTGAAAAATCTGGGGAAGAAATATGTTTTTGACTGGTAATCAACTCGTGGATGTTTCCTAGAAATAAAGTGAGTTAAGGTCTATTATTCCTAATAGTCCTACTTTACTCAACAGCAGCCTCATATTCTTTTAAGCAGACCTCTTTTCTTCTTCTTTCCTGAAAGGCCTTAGCAATATTTAATCACTCACAGCATGTAAACTTACCAATGTATTGCAAAGATATGATAGGACACAGTGATTTTTAGTGCAGAGCACACACACTGAGGCAGAGAGTTTGAGGCACAGCGGTAATTGAAATATTAAATGGAAACCACTTACAGAGCATTCTCAGAGGATGCGGTAATAGACAATATTAGACACTGAGTGTGCATATTATTTGTGACAGCTTCTGGTAGTGAGCTCTCTTGTCCTGTCATTACCTGTATTTCTCTTTCTGCCCTCTCTTTCATCCCCTCTGCCCTAATCTCATCCCCCTCTTCCTGACTTTTCTTCTTTCCTTTCTCCACCCTTGCCCAAATGGCTAGCGGTCTGCATATGACAAGCAGATGCTCACCATGCAAATATGCCTTTTAAAATCTTTGCGTCCTTTTATCTTTAGCCAAACAGATACATAGGAATTCAGCACTTTTTCCAGTCCTATATTTTAGCATTGATGCAGTTTTCTCTGTGTATCGGTTAATATCTAATAGCTAATATATCAACTTGTCAAGAAGATTAATATCATTTACTCTGTGGAACGTGTAGCTGTACACGACATGCCATTGTAAGGTTTTTCGCAATGACTCGTACAAACTTGAATCAACTGCTTAAAAAGCGTGTGCCGCAGGGAGATGAAAAATTCATTTATATACACGCTTATACTGTGTTTGGTACTTTATTTGTGATTCTTCGTTGTTTATGTATGAGGAAAGCTAGTATGTGTATGGATCTTTTATATCTTACAGTCTATGGTATCCTATTCTGCAGAGGGTTTTTTTTTATCCACTCACTCATATGAGAAAGGTTTCACAGAAACATAGAAACACCCATTTTAAGAATATGTGCTCTTCATCCTTTTGGTAAACTGGAAACTGCACTGTTCCTTTCATTGTATTCCTCTTTCTTTTGAACCAGGAACTGAAACATGTTTACTTCTCCTAATAACATATTATTTTTTGTTTTCTTTCCTCTCCTTTCCTCTCCTCTTCTTACCTCTCCTTACCATACCTCTCCTTACCTTACCTCACCTCACCCCTATGCAGTCTCTGGGAAGAGAAGCGGTATCTGGAGAAAGAGAATGAGATTCAGCCGAAACCTGCTGTAAGTTCATCATTGCAACACAGGTGTAGTTTCAGAGACGTAGATTATTACTGCAACAGCGGTCTTCAGAGGGGATAAATATGAGTTTTACTTTAAGCCTCCATCCAGGCTTAATCCCTCACTATGAAGACTTGCCATTGGCGCTTTTTGGGGCTGTTCGAATCAATGTGAAACTGAAACACTTTATATTACAAGCACCCATTCAGACAAAGGGATGAGTTTTAATCCTTGTTTTGTCTAAGCGGGCAAATTAAGTTTGTAATGGCTGGTAATCATCCACAAAGGCAACTGATGTAGCAGAAATACATATAGGGAGGAAGCATAATGTATTATTTAAAGGTTAAAACAAATATATCATAAACATATAAACTCACAGACGGTTGCTGATAGCATTCTCGCCTCCTGGATGAATGTATGCCTCTGCTCCAACTCAAAGAAATGCAGCGTAATAATGTTCACACTATATTGTAATATACATGTAATATTTATAGTATCGTTAATATACATGATTCTCTTTATCATGTGTGAAACAGAACAAATTTACAGTATAAATAAAAACATTCCTTCCTTCGCATATCATACTAGAATCCCAGTTTCAGTATGTACTGTATCATGCTGTGGGGCATATTAATACTGTATCACTTTTATGATTTAGTCTATCAGAAGTCTACCACAGTGAAGTGCAGTTTGAGCATTTCCAACACTTGGATGGACATAAAAAATATGCAGTAGCTGCTGAATCATCAGCACTAAAAACTTCAGCAATTGTGTCAAAAAAATCAGATGATGATCAGATGTTCAAGAATATGAACATTAGACTCTTAGGGTAGTCCCAAGGAGCATTCACAGTTCTCCAATCGTCGAACGTAATCAAAATTCTGTTGCCTGTGCCGCTAATGGCAAGAGGAGGTTAGAGTTGGAGCTTGCTTAATAAATTCAGCAGCTTTAATTAATTTTTTTGATCTTTGGCTACTTTTGGGGTTTAATTATGCAACTACCGTTTAATTACTGATTGCAATAACAAAACATTCCAGATGTACTACAGTTCTGCTCTCATGCCTCGTTTCATAGCATATAAAAACTACTGAGTCAAGGTGGCTCATGGGTGAACAAACAAGAAGAAATGAAGCTGAGTAACAACCAATGGCCTCAACTCGGATGCCAGTTTGTTGAGTTGCATTAAAAGTGAACTTTGAAAAGTGAATTTACATCAACAAAATACTTGTAGAACCAGTGACACATGCCGGTTTACTACTCTATAGGGAGAAAGTATCGCAGTAAAACAGTTGCAGTGTTTTGACTGCTCAACATGAATCATCAAGTGGCAGTATTGTGTGGACAAATGTATTTCACTGCTGCCACTCATGAACAATCCTTTAGATGTACAGCAACACAAGTGTGTGTGTGTGTGTGTGGTCAAATAATGTTCAAATATCAACTAAATCACATCAACAGAAACTGCTACCTCTACCAGAACAGTTCAGGCAATGTATTCTGTTAATCTAACAGAGAGTGTATGTGTAAAAGGACCTTTTCCCATTGGGCCTACAGCATTAAGTGTGATATTAACTTTAATGAAACACTCAAAGGCGCCCGGGGGACTTTGCATTCTTCTCCCTCTCTTCTCTCTGTCACACACAAACACACATATACACTTGTCAAACTTGATTAACGAGCTATTTGTTTCATAGTAGAGGCCTCACATACATTTCTAATTGTTTTTGCTGTGGATACTAGAGCAGGGGAAGAAAATAAAACACAAACTAGCTTTAAAGTGCAGGACATCTATCATGTTGAATGAATAACAGCTGGTTTAGTTGCAGTTGTTTATATTCATACTCATGCTTGTACAATCGACTCCATGTAACCCAACATTTTTCAACAATGTTGGGGGTCATGTCCATCTTTGTTGTGCAGAAAATGATGAGAATTCAGTTTTGGGCATCAAACTAAAACTAGTTATAGTACTGAAACAACTTTACTGAAAGGACTTTTTCATCATCAGACATTAAAAGACAGAATTTTGCTTTTTTAGAACAAAAATCTATGACAATTAAAAAAACAAAAATCCATGCGAAAGAAAACAAAGGCTGGTGGAACTGACCCTGAGAGGTAGGATCAAACAGTAGTATTTTTCCTGTGCAGCCTGAAGTCAGTTAAACAACTGAACTAATATTCTTGATAAGTGATGTAATGCTCATGCTGCTGTTGGGTCCTCCAGGAGCTGGAGAGGAGAACAAAGGCCCTGCAGGAAAAATATGAGGATCTGAGGAAAGAGGTTGCCCAGAGACAACTGGAAGTCAGGTATTTTATCTAACTGCTGTTCAGAGAGCACACATGCAGTTTTCTCACATTACCCTGCAGAATGATACAGGTGTACATATTCACTTTGTGTCTTCATGACTTTTTCTTTTCGTGCTTTTTTTAAAATAGAATTTCAGTTTTGCTCTTGTTGTCAATTTAATAAGAAGCAGTGCGGCTGAATATTTTAAGTTCTGTTAATCGAAATTGTTCTGATAAGCAAACTTTTCGTGTATGTCTTGCCCTCACTCCCCGTGCAGAGGCCTGATGGAAGATGTGGAAGCCCATGAAATGCAGATATTGAAAGAACAGAAAGAGCTGGAAGACAAGAAGGAGATCATAGAGCTCAAAGAGGTCTGTGTGTGTGTTTGTCTGTGTGTGTGTGTGAGAGTGGGCATTGCTTACAGCACACCATCAATAAAATAACAAATCATCAGTCTTTTTACAGTTGTGTGTGTCTGTGTGTGTCTTTGTGTGTCTGTGTGTCTGTGTGTGTCTTTGTGTGTCTTTGTGTGTTATAACAAGGCTGAGAAAGCCCGGCTCATCAGCATACCTGACCAGATTTTAAAGGAGACCGAACGGAAACGCTCTAAGAAGGGGTAAGTATATTTAACCCCTTAATACTCTTTATTGGGCAAGAGCAGGAAAGTTAATGATTCAAACACCAGGAATAAAAATCAGCCAGTAACACTGAGAAGAAAAATATGGTAGAAAGATCTTTGGAAAATGAAGTTGCCCCCTGATTTGTACAATCCCTCTGTCAGTTAGCTCAAATCCTTCTGTAATCTGTCTCTTTCCCTTCATCTTAAACTGTCATACACAAAAGAGCTGGATTTAACTGGATGAACACTGAGTTATCATACTGTAATTTTCATAATGGAAAGGGCACATGCTACTTACTGTTTTTGCTTAGTGTAAACTTTTGATCAGAACAAAAAAACAAATACAGAATCTGTGCACAGCTGAAGCTAGATATCAGTTTCTTCCTCTTAATTTTCCTGCAAGAAGTATTGGTTTCCAGCTTTATACTCGGTTTCCTCTCTGTAAGTTGCATATTTTATTCCAAATGAGGTTTGTAGCAACAATCAAATTCTTCTAAAGAATTTAAAGGTGTCAATCCTTCTAATTTAATTTTGAAAAAGACAAACATATGCATCAGAGATAATTAATTTTTGTTTTAAGTGCAGCTGCAGTAGGAAGCCTGTTCATTACCAGAGAATGGTTCCACTCGCCGCTTTACTGCAGTCTCTTTTATGTTTATTTCAAATTAATATTTGGCTTGCAAGTGATGCAGTGCAGCTGTCTGTATGAGCCATGTGAGCTACGGCTTGTAATTTGAAATTCACAAAGCTGAGGGGAACTGGGGGGTGTGTGTAAAATATGGATACACATGCTGTTATTTCATAAGATATGCACTCTTGCAGTGCAAGTGAGGAGTAATAAACTGATACTCCTGGTCTTGTACAGTGCTTACCCTTGTTCTTTTGTATGATTTTAACATATCATCCTTCGAAACACATTAGAGCTGCACTGAGGAAGATAGAAGTGCTAAATACAGAGATTTCAGAAATGGAGCAGCAAGTGAAGGAGGTGGAGCTGCATAACCACTCCCTCAGGTTGAAGAAGGAGGGGTTGAACGAGGAGCTGCAGGGTCTCTGGGCTCAAGTCGAGGCCAGTCAGAGGGAGTGCAGACAGCTGCTGAAAGAGCAGGAGGTCAAAAGGGAGGAGGAGGTGGAATTAACAGGGAACAGGTACTAACTCCAAATACAGTCAAAAATGAAGACAATGATGACAGCACTCCAACAAAAAATAATGAGTTAAATATATTAACATAAATCTTTGTGTTTTTCATCAGAGGTATCCTGGAAATGAAGTTGCAGAACGTAATGTGTGACAGAAAGCACCTGTATGAGAGCCAATCTGTGCAGCTCAAAGAGAAAAATAGGTATTGAAGTCAAACTGAGCTCCATTGTACATGTAAATGAGTCCCCACAAATCAATACACACTGTATGCAAGGGCCCTTACTGGACACCTGTACTCAAAAAATATACAGTAAATATATATTTAGTCAGAGAGCTTCTTTTTTTTTTTTTAGCTCCTTGATGTACTTTTAGATACAGCCAAAAAAAAACTCTTACACAGTGGATTAGTACAAGTTAAACAAAAGGTTCAGAGTACATCTGAGAGTAATCCATATATAATGAGCCTAATTTTGAGTTTCCTTATTTTGTGTAGGAGGCACATCCTTATGATGATGATGATTATTATTATGAGGGCGGCTGTGGCTCAGAGGCAGAGCAGGTCGTTCTTAATCGGAAGGTTGTGGGTTCAATCCCTGGCTCCTGGTGCCAAATGTCAAAGTATCCTTGAGCAAGATTGCTCCCGATGCCGTGCATCAGTGTGTGAATGTGTATGAATGTTAGTTTCTGTTCGATGGACTTGTGAAAGGGTGAATGTGGCACGTTGTGTAAAAGTGCTTTGAGTGGTCGGTAGACTAGAAAGGCGCTATACAAGTACAGGTCCATTTACCATTATGATAAATATTTTAAAGGTGCTTGTGTTTCTCCTCAGGCAGATGCAAGCCCTCAAGAGGATGGAGCATGTGTTGGCCACGGCCACTGAGCAGCTAGAATGCACACAGTCAATCTACAATGAGCTGCAGGCACAGGTGACCTGTAAATTACATTCATTTATAGGTCAGCTCTAATTTGAAGCAGTTGGAGTATTCACGAGTGGTCTGGCATATCTTAGCTCCTCAGTGCTTCTGTTATTTTTCATAAAAATACACTCAAATTATGTTCAAAAAATTTAAACCGATACCACTAAACCTCTCATTGCTAAAACACACTCCTCCTGGTTTGCAACATTATGTTTTTACTGGTATTGGCACTTGGTTAGGAACATTTGCTGGGCTTAAACACAGGTGTGGGAACATTTTGAGTGTAAATGTCATGGTGACATTAATCAGCCCATAAAACTCTTAATCTGCATTACACCAGAAGCATTTTTTTTATTCTTGAGCTTCCTGTAATTTTACTGATGTTCACAGTTTCTAAAGAGAAAATGGAGGGAAGAAGAAGAGAGGGATAGACATGGGAAATGTGTCAGCACATCTCACAAGCACATGACAATATGAAAGGAAATCACTATGACACACCAGGGAATTCACACATTGAGGAAACATTGAAAAAAAAGCAGTTGTACAATATGATTCATTCATTTCCATAATCTGTCAATCAATAACGACTCTCACATGAACAATTACTCATAATGAATTTGAATGTGAAGGCTGTTTAGATGAGGATTCAACCGCCTGTGGTTTTACCACAAAAATGCTTCACATTTATCTCAAATAGGATGTGATGGATGGCTTTGAAATTTACACAATGTTGTGTTCTAAACTTTACACAGCATGAGGCCTAACAAGGACTTAAAATAGTGATGGTATTCATCCATGTAGCTGAAATAAAATGATGGTATTGCAACTCTTAAACCTACTAATTTGGTCGTATTCCGCTTCAAGGGACTAACAATTTTTAAATATGGAGCAATGTAGCTCCTAACACTGAACACAAGGTCTGGCAACCCTGCAGAGAGGGGCAATCCCAGTGCCTGAAGGCATTCATATTTTATGAGTCTCAGTGAACACTTTCAGTGTCACTGCATCAAAAGGCTATCAGAGAAACTCTGATATATAGAATTAATTATTTTGCTGTCAATGTTTAATGTGGGGTTGAATATGCACTGACTGAATTTAATCAGAAGTTTGTTAATTTTGTACTGGATCCTTGTGGTATTTCCTTCTAGTGGCTTACAATTAAAGAAACAAATGATAATAATTTTTTACAGCTTTTTACTAATAGTCAGGAGTCTTCCAGCAGATGTGTATGCACACTGAACATTTGAACAAACTTTGTTTTGACTTTACATTCTAATTTAAATTCCCAGTTAGATGCTCTTCCTAAAAAAGAGGCCAGTATTCAGCAGAGGATGGAGCTTCAGAAAGAGGTGGATGCTCTCAAAGTCAGCTTTGAAAAACAGGTAGGAACAATGTGCATGGGTGGACACGATATCATTAGCAACTGCAAAATGTATTGTAATTTCCTGCACTAGCCCTTGAACAAATCAATCTTTTGGAAGCCTATAATTTCTTTCTTTTTTGTTGAAAGTGTCACAGCAAAGTGTTCAGCTCTATCTTAGTTATAATATATGTCTCAGAAAATGTTCAAGTGAAAAGAAATAAAAAAAAAAGTAACATTTAATTTGATATTTCTAATTTTTTAGCATCTTCAGAGTTAGGATGAGAAAATAATAAAATGGGAAGTCTAATCTTGCCTTCTATGTCACATAGTTGGACAAAACTTTAACAACATGGAAACGGTCTGCCAATGTTTCAATATCTTCCTGGTATTAAAGGACTGCAGTCAAATTGTAATCGTGTGCCTGAAAACTGAAAAAGTGTGAAATGTGTTCAACCAGTTATCAGTAGCTGAGGAGGAGAGCCAGAAGAAGCAGCAGTATGGGATGATTCAGGGGCTGCTGAGGGAGTCAAACTGCCTCAGAGAAGAACTCCATAACCTCAGATGTCTGACACAGATCAAAGCCGAGGAGAGGGGCCAGAAGCACCGTGAACTGCTTAGAGCTGAGGTTCAATACAAACGCACACACACACATACAACACACATACAAAGGTTAATTTAAAATAGGTTTTGATGTCATCATTAGTGCTTTTAATAACTTGTGCAGACATAGACACGCATATTTCACACAAATGTGTCAAAAAACATCAAAGAGGAACTGAAGTAGGTTTATATTTTAGGCACTCTTGATGTTAGTGTGACAGGAGCAGGGCAGAGCAACCAAAAATGACACAGTTTCAAAGAGTGCAAAACGTCGAGGCTTTACTGCCCTAACAATATTACCGTCACCACAGTGTGATCATTTCAGAATCATTTGAAAAAATATAGAGAGACTAGGCAATTTTAGTTTAGCTACATTTGAGATAAGGTCTAAGAGGGACATTTTTGGGCAGAAATGACTTATAAATGGGCTCCCTTTTCACGTTGCTTCAAACAAGATCCTTCCTTTCTACTGAAATCAAAAGTAGTTTTTTTCCCCTCCAAAACATCCTAATAAAGTATCAACTACAGATTCATGGAGTCAAAATGACCCAAGCAGTCCTGGTTTAGTGAATTCATTTATTCATTTTGGAGCTGATCAGCTAATTTATTGTTTCTTTTTATACATTGAAAGTGTTAGAAAAGAAGCAGCAGCTGCAATATTACAAAAAAAATTAAAGCCACAAATATGATTGACTGTTTGCGAGCACATAAACACACACACACACACACACACACACACACACACACACACACACACACACACACACACACACACACACCCCACACACAGAAGTGATGATACTGTAGTTTTACCTGTGTAACTCCATCTACAGCAGCTGAACCAGCACATCCAGCAGGAGCTGCTAGAAAAGGACTTGATCATCATGGACCACAACAAGCTGAATACTATGCTCCAGCGCAGGTGTCACTGCTGTTTTCTCTTTTTTATTTCCTTGTCAGCCACCTTTCATTAAATGCAAAGTTGGGTGTCACGACAAAGAGGATTTTGCTTACAGAGAAGGTACTAAGCTTTTAATGCAGTAGGTAGTATTAGGGCAAGCAACTTCCTACTCCCTGCCTGTCTCTCAGTCTTAGTCCCTCTCTCTTACTTTTTCTTTCTCTTTGCATAATGTGGAGATGAATCTTAAGGTTTCATGGCACAAATCTTTTCAGAAATGTCATTACAGATGATACTTTTTTTGAATAATATGCAGCAGCAGTATGGTGGTTCTGCATACTGGGTCAACTGGTCAACAGTGTGGGCAGCAAATTGGATTCCTGTATACAGTATATCGATGTGATAATAGATTCCCTAGTTAATTGTTTGGCTCCTCTGATCTGTGTAACAGCTTGGGATCACAATTAATTCAGACATCTGCACATGTTGTCTGGCTAGAAAACCATAACTTACTAATTGGTCATACTTCAGCGTTCAGATGCAGACTAATGCATCTGGCACCACCCAGTACAACACTAGACTCACTCGCAGTACATTCAGTTATGTCACGACCAAAGACTGCAGTCTGATGTGGTTGCACTTGACATGGAACCCGCTCTGAAAACTATCTAGTCAAGCGAAAACAGGACAGGAAGATAATTAGATATTGTGTATCTCTTCTTTGTACTTGTAATAGAAAAAACTTTCTATATTTAGCAATCATTGTTCACAACTCGCGTCTTACATGGTAAATTTTAAATTTAATGAAATGTCACACTGCATTAGAGTTTAGTTCTGTCATAACAATTTTTTGATTCACTGATAATTTGTGATGAACATGAATATGACTTTTAATCATGTTTACCATACTTGATTTTACACTTTAAGATAATAACACGAAGTCATGATTATGGTTATTACATTTATGTCCACATTTCTAAACATCCGTCAGCTATTAAAAACAGCCATTAGCTATGGATATAAATCCTACTGTATATAAATCCTATAGTAGCTAGCAGGATTATAACAAAGAATGAACAGTTACAACTGGTTGGAACAGATCACTGTTATGGTAAAATGTCAAAAACCTGCTCTTGATAGGAGCCAGGTCTCGTATTCGAGAACAAGAACGGGCTCACTACTAATCAGTGTTTCCGCCCTTAGAGTATCACAGTATTGTAAGCTGTGCCAAATGATCATGGAAGAGAAGAATAAGTACGTCAAGCTGAAGCAGATTGCCTCACAGACAATCACAGAGCTGACGGAGCAGGTGAAGGTGCAGGAGAATGAGACGGAGATCCAACGTACCATTGTCATCAACAAGGACAGGTGTGTACGTGTGTTTCGTACAGGGAGGGTTGTCAGTGTTAGCTTTATTATAATACATACTAATGCAGAAAAGAAGGCATAGACAATAATAATGTCAAGGTTATATTTATTAAGATTTCATTATTATCACGTGATCAGTGCATTTGTTTGGTAATCATCACATTTCTGATATTGTTTCTTTCCAGATCACTCACAAAGGCTCGTATGAAGATCTCTAATAGCTCCAAAATGAGGGACAAACTGCTCAATGACATCTCCAAGGTCCAGACACACACACACACACACACACACACACACACACACACACACACACACACACACACACACACAAAAATACAGAGGTGATACCAGTCAGAACACACTGTGGGAAACGCACTGTGGACCATAAGCCAGTATCAAAAATTCAACAGTTCAACTAAACAGATTAAATATGTTACAATGGCTAATGTGACTCAGGGGGCCCAGAGTTGAACTGAGAAACTGAGTCAAAGCTGCTGTAGTTGTTTTGAGTGAGCTCAATAATTCTAGCAGAGCTCTTAAACTTTGTTTTGGACAGCTCTAGAGTTAAGGAGGCAAACCCACATCCAGTTCCCCTGTATTTATCTTTGCATTACTGCTTAAGAGTCTTACGAAACACACAAAGTTTAAAACGGAACTTTTGTGATGTCTACTGTAGAAGTTGTTTCTTAGTTGTTTTAAAGTCAGCCTATTACCATGTTACAACTGTCTCGAAAGCCCCGACAGAAACAGGAACACAACGGCGGTTAAATGCAAAGGGATAAACTCTATTTACAAAAGAACAAAATGGCTCAGAATGACACGTAAGAACTATCAAGTGTTTGCATTCCAACGTACTTAAAAGAAAGAACACGCACCTAACAAATGTCGTTCAAAAGTGTTTGTTTTTTTGTTGTTGTTGTTTTACATCTTCTAGGTTGCCTGGAAGCAACATCAGATCAGTCAGGAGTGTGAGGACAACAAACTGGAGCTGATGAAACTCACACAAATGATAAACCTTCAGGAGAAATCCCTTCTGGAAATGAACAAGAATCATGAAACGGCCATACAGCGCCGCAATTTACTGTATGTATATTTAGGAGGTTACATTATGCATACATTCAAGTAGAGGATCTAAACTGTATATGTCAAATAATGTTTGTGTGTGTGTATGTGTGTGTTACCTACAGTGGCATTCAGCTCCTGGAGCATGAGGAGGTGTTATTGAACTACTATGAAAAGGTGAACATCCAGGGGGCGGCCATTACGAAGGGCAACATGGCGCTGGAGACCCTGGAGAAGGAGATGAAGGACTTGCAGTTGACTATTAATGAGGAGAAGAGACAGATAGACCTGAAGAAGAAGGAGGTTCCCCTCAAGAAAAAGTTGGAGGGAGAGATCACCATGCTGCAGATAGAGGTGGGAGAAGTATACCAACATAAAACCTACGCACTCAGACACATCCTTACAGAAATTAGCAGGCAAACAGCCACATTTCAGAAGCCTTTCAACATCTGAACTCCCTCATAATCTGCCGTTAGTCACCTTCACCAAAACACCTTAACAAAAGAAGTAAATCCACTAAACTTTCACAACTGCAGTAATTACTTGAAAAACAAAAGGTGTGGGTGGAAAGATGTCTGTGTACTTTTAAAATAGTTGAGGATGTTTCATGGAAATCCTTCATTAAAATCTTCTTTCTGTTGTGTGAACAGTGATGATAGTGTCCTGGTGACAGTCTCTTAACGCCCACTTCCCCTTTCACTGTATCGTCTCTCATTCCTTGCCAACAAGAAATGAAAACTCTATTAATAGAGCCCGCTGTATAGTCCCTAAAAGTTTCAGCAAAGTGCAGGTTTATTGAACAGTTTTGTGCTCCTTATTTTTTAGGTCTAGTGTTTTAGGTCTATCCTCCTCCAGGTATGGTGTGTCTTCTATAGCGCCCCAACAGTTTCTCTAAAGTGCCTTTGCTCATATATCCACTAATTTGTGAAGATTTTGCTTTCGGTTATGCCGCTGTCCACATTTCCCCAGTGTCCAATCACAGCTTGACCCCAACTACATCTGGATGTGGCCTAGCTTATTGATTTCAAAATCCTATCTGAGAGCAGTGAGGGCTGTCAATTAGTTCTTCCTGGTGTAATGAGATGGTAAAAGCACTGAAAAAAAAACAGATTGTGGGTGTGGGTGCAAGAATTTCCTTGGAAAATTGCAAATTTGGTGTGTGTGTTTGTATTCATGTCCAAGTCCAAACAAAACACTTTATCCAACAGTGCTGCAGGCCATTGTCCAGCTGTGTATGTGTACGTGTATGTGTGTGTGTGTGTGTGTGTGTGTGTGTGTGTGTGTGTGTGTGTGTTCCTGCACGCTGTAAAAAAGCATTTTAGACATTAAAGTGATTTATGTAATGTCAGTGGAGAGTCCTCATAGGATCTTGTAAGATCGAATGATTGTGTGTACCTGTGAGTTGCATGTGTCTAGGGTATTGCAAACTATTGTTCAACTGTATGTGTATCTTTGTTAAGTAAGGGGAACTCCAAAAAGAACAGCTGAGTACAAGCTCCAGAAGACAATACTTGCAAATGTGCAGACACCAGACATTTCACTCAGAGCACTACTAATGAGCAGATCTGTTTTTGAAATACTTTCAAAGCATTACTGTATAATGAGACTTCTGAATTGCTCTAGTATAATGTACTAGGCTTTCATTTCAATCTAATGAACAGACTCAGTCTTCATATCTACTTCGCTTACAGTAAATATGAGTGAGAGTATTTATTTTGACCATATTCCAGATGGATTTTATTTCTTTATTTATATTTATTTTACTGTGAGCATGAACACATCCTCCATCACTTCCCCAAAGAAAACAACACTATAAGAACTGTACATTTGTTAGAATGTGTTTTTTTTTTCCCGGTTTGGACACCATTACTGTATTCTAAGCTGTCTTTGATCACTCATCATCATAACTGGTCAATTTTATTCCTATTTTCAGAGGCTTCGTTGTGTGGTGGTGAACTGATTGTGGTCAGACGTTCTCAGAGGTTTGAATAGAGACAGAAACGCTGCTTTTGCCAACCAAACTCTACAGACAGAAAGAAGATGAGGTTCTAAACCAAGAGGGACATACCCAAACAACCTCACACTGCACAGTATTCACTGAGACAGACTGCGACACATGAATAAATAACATAAATATACAAACACATTCAACAGACTTGGCAATACATAGAGAGTGACAGACACGTAGAGGGAGAGAGAGATTTGAGAGAGGCAACACAAACGCACACGCACGCTGAGTTTCCCTGCCAGTTGCTGCGTCGTGGGATTGGGTGTGTTGCTGCTCTGGATCAGAGTGACTGGTTTTGACTCGCTGTTGGACCAGACTCCTCTCATCTGAGTCTTGTGCTCTTTTGGATGAACGCAGTGTTGGAACAGACTTCACCATGTGCTGCTTTTTTGAAAAACGCCCCTTTTCCTTTCCTCCATCTGTTTACTCCTTCTGCTGTTTATCATTTGCTACAAGAGGCCTTGTTGGTGCCATCCTTTTTTTTTTTTCCACTCTGATTTTCTATTGTTTTTCTCATCGTTAGTTTTTGTACTCTTTCCCTCACCTTTGTCTGACCGCCCTTCCTTTAATTGTTCCCTCAACACATTCTTAAGGTTTTTGTTTCAGTGATTATTTATTTTTCTAGAAAGTCCCTTCCAAATCTCCATTCCTTTCTCACGTTATTATCTTCTCCCTTTTCTGACAGACCTTGCGTTTGGCTGTAGATACAGTACATTCCTATAATCTGTCCTTTTCAGCTATGCAAGTGGTGTGGCTCTATGGATGGTTGGTTGGTTGGTCGGTCCACAACTTTCACCCAGACTGAAATATGTCAACAATTGTCGGATGGATAGCTGTAAAAATGTGTTACCTGTAGACATTCATGACCCTCAGAGGTGAAATCCTAATGGCTTTAATAAACCTCTTGGTCTTCTTGCACCACAATTAGGTTGACGTTTTGAGGTTTTGAGTGAAAAATCTCAATAACTATTGGATGGATTGGATGAATTTGGTAGAGACTATAGATTGTATAAAAATCCTCCCACTGTATGAAGCTTAAGTATCCTGGATTTGGGTGCTGCCATCTTGTTCTGGTGTGATTTGGAGCCAGAGTCTGCACAGTAGTGATCGGGGTTGGAGCCACGGTATCGAGGTCCTGCCCATACAACCGGCCAACTCACGACCAGGGACCAGCTGTCGATCATATGTAAAACCCTTTCTTTTTTTTATAGAATCAAATAACTGATTAAACCCGAACTTATCAGAAAAATGAATACCTGAACATTCATCAGCATACCATCTTTCTCACCAAACCACCTTTGGGAAAAATTTATTTGACATGTACTTTGATTTTTTTAGTTTGGCTAACACCGAGGTGGCGGAGTTCTGTACTGCAGCCAGCCACCAGGGGGCAATTGAGATGTTTTACCTTTACTCCTGGGGAGCTGTTATGTCATCCTTCTGTATATACAGTAAATGATACAAACATTCAAGTTCCCCTCAGGATGCATTGTTATAACTTTGATGATCCCTCAACTTTTCATTTAGTGCCATCTTCAGGTCTATTTTAATATGTCCAGTACTTTGGTTCATAACTATAAACCTGGAAAACAATAATGCCATTTTGTCCTAATTTGCAAATGTTTACCCACTGTACTAAGATGATGAACATGGTAAACACTGCACCTGCTAAACACCTGTAAACAGTCCTTGTGAGCATGTTAGTATGCTGATATTAGCATTAACTCGCTACTGTGCCTAAGTAGAACCACACAGAGCTGTGAGCATGGCTGTAGACTCGTGTTTGGATACAGATGCAACTCCTGGAACTTTCTAACGATCAACAGTTACATCCCTTATTAGTTGAATCAATTCTGTTCATCCACCCATGCGTTCATCCATCCACTCATTCTGTATTTGTCCCTTTCCTCTGTGTTTAAATAGCAAATCATTTTCTAAAACGCTGTTTTCCCTCCTACGGCTGCCTAGTTCCCCTGGGTACAAAAAAAGTGAATCACAGGGGTCTCTCCTACTGCAGGAAGCTTGCCAGCTCAATTCATTCTCCCTGCGAATTCATTTTCTATGCGAATTCAATTTCCATGCAGCTGCCTTGCTGTCGATTTATTATATATATTGTGTATTTGTATTCATCTGTGACCAGTTTATCTGTTCTTTGCAGACGGGCCCCCCTCCCTTTGATGGGGAATTTTGACAAAGATAGATCGGGCCATCTGTGAGACTATTGAAGTTCAATATACTCTGAGGCTTTCATTTGCTCTGAGGAATTTTAATTGCTGCAAAATAAACAGAGGTTGGTGTTGGATTCTGAATTTACAACTTGTTTATGAGTTGCTGGCACGTCGACATCTCAAACACACATACAGGTGCACATGCATCAGCGCACACACTGAGACGAGTGCAGTGTTTGTGAAGTTGTGATCATACCATTGCAGCATCTAAATATTGTTCAACAGTCCTCTGTGTCCATGTAAATGTATATAAATATTTGTCAACAAACATGCAGACATTGATATATTTATAGAATACATACACAGTCAGTAATAGAGTAGGATTTATAATGGGGTGAGGCTGACATACTGCACTGTCCCTACAGTGGTGACTCATATTGTTTGTCTGCCTCTCTTAAATCTTTGTCCAACCCGTCTGGAACTTATTAACACGGGAAAACCCGCCGCGAAACATATCTTGTGCAAGTGAATCTGTTATTGTATGTGAGAGACTAAAGTGAGACAGGTAGAGAGCAAGCATGCACGCATAAATAAAAAAAGGCAGACAATGCTGTAACAACAGTGCATTGTGTGTATGAAAACTCCGCTCTGCAGCCCTTGAAAGTCTGTAACTCGCCTCTAAAATCTGACTTCTCTTCACACTGCTGCCTAAATGCCCGAGAGTACTCCAGCTCTCTGACTCAAACAAGTGTTCAGAGGAGTTGGCATGTATCCCAAACGAAGTAATGACAGTGTCACAGCAGTCCAGCCTTGACATCTTTTTGTAAGACCACCAGTAAGTTAGCTCTGCTCAAGATTCCCACAGCCGATTTCTGCACTGGCTTTGAAAAGACATAAAGAAAAATGCCTTTCTCCCCTACATTGCACACTCTGGCTGCTAATATTCACTGCTGGGGTGATAACTCTAAATCATATGCACTCACTGATTATTTAAGGTCATGCATGGCCTGGCCCCTAGTTATCTTTATTTCAAAATCTTATGAGCCGGGATGAAGCTTGAGGTCCCCTGCAGGCGGGAACCCTACCTTCCCTTATAACTATTTCTGTTTCCCAGAGACTGAAAGTGAAGCTTTTGTTGTCAGGGGCTTCAAGGCCGAGGAGTGATTTGCCCTGAGGAATTCAGGCTGGCAGAGTCAGTATCACCCTTCAAATCTCTTCTTACCACAAGATATTCTTTTCACCCCATAACTTTTAATATTTTCTATATATGTTCTCATTTATTTCATGTTTTTATTAATCATGATGGTTGGTTGTATGTCTTCCATCACTAAACCCTTTAGAACTGGCCCCGCTGCAGGTCTTCTCAAACCCAGCATACTTTTTTTTTCTGCTGTTCTTCTCCAGAGCAGTGTTACTTCAGTTTGACATTACCAGCGTATATCAGTTAACTAATATTACATGCGTTTCTAATATTATGTGACCTGCTGTCGAATATTTATGTAGAAGATGTGTTAAAATTCATATTTTCATATTTAATTATAATATATTCCTCATTGGAGGCTTATTAAAGGTTCAGTTCAGCTCCTCTGCTCACATGTTCTGCTAATTAACCTTACATAACCTTATTATGATTATGATTTTACTGCTGCTTTACTTTACTGACCTTTCTGCTTTACTGATCTGTCCCTTTGTCTTTTATCCCTTTTAGTTGTAAGGCACTTTGTAACCTCATTTTGGAAAGTGGTTTATAAATAAGGTCATTATTTATCTTTATTATTATACTGTTAAGCATTCAGTGTCCCATCAGTTATGTGGCTTTTAAAGCCATCATGTTAACTATTAACTGAGCAGAAATTATGTAAATAATATGCAAATTGTATTCTGTGTAGATATTGTCACATGTACAATGCTTTATAGCATTCATGAGCCAAGAAAGCAGCAATTCTTTGTGACTGTCACATGAAGAAAACAGAGAGGCAGGCAGGCAGAACAGAGACACTGACACTGAGACAGATAAATAGTGAGACAAAGACAAACATCGGCGTATAACAGCGGGAGGAGGACGGGTATAAAAATGTTAAGAGAGAGGGCACCACGGAGAAAAAAAAGATTGATTGAAGAGCAGAGAGAATAGGAGAGTGACAGACGCGCTGTATCCCATCCATCATGTAGTGTTTAAATGGCTTAGGGTGGATACATATGAGGGTGGAACACAGATCAATCAGACTCAGAAGCGAGGAGTGGGCACACACTTGTCTCAGTCGGGTATTTTCAGATTCTGACGTAGTCTGAAAAGTTCATCTGCATTTAAATCTTGGAAATAAATTAAAACATTTCTTATGCAGCGAGGTTTCTATATCAGTTACAGTCAAAACAAACAAAGTATTTATATCCTAATTTCTGATTATACTCAAGTTGTAATTACCAAAAGAAGAATTTAAATGTAATCAGTTTTTCTGCCATGGTGGCATTAGTACATCCATTAGTATTATCCAGGAGGGGCTGTGAATCTTTGGTTGGACTACTAAGTGAGGATGTTAACATTGGTAATTTGAAAGAAGTAATATCTGTGTGGGCAGCACTTAGCTGTTTACTGTCTGTGTGGCTGTTGGAATTACATACAAACTTTTGAGTCCCGACATTCTTAAGGGAATAGTTCGACATTTTCACTTTAATGCTCTGATTTAAAAAGGATTCCACAGATTGATTCCACATAGCTGTGACAAGCAGATTAAAAAAAAGGGAGAAACAGCTCGCCTGATTCTGTCCAAAGGTGACAAGATCTGCTTCCAGCCCCTTTAAAATTCACTAAATTATTGACTATTTGTTTAAGCCGTACACAAGTGTATTAAGACAACCGTTTTTAGAGGGCTTATTTCTTTTCCCAGAGCAGAAACTGGAATATAAACTTAACAATACAACCGGTCCTCCCAAATGTTGAATGTTGTAAAAGGACACATTGCTAAACAGTCAAACGGCATAGCGCTAATGGGACATAACCAGGGCTATGTGGGTTTGTTGTCTTGCATCAACGTAGGTTGTACAGGGCTATAAGGAGCTTTAAGCTTGCCTACACAAAAAGTGTGAAGAACTTTAAATGCATTTCGACCTCAGTGTCAGTATGATTAGTTACAGTTTGGTGCCCTTCATTTTTATGTTCAGCATTAAATAGGATAATTTGTCGGCTTTGGTGCTTAATTTTGGTCTTGTAAATGTATTCAACTCCTTACACCATGAACACGGGTTTGTTTTCAAAGTTATATTCTCTGTGAAAACTGCAGATAACCCCGGTCCCTGTTGGTCAGCCCCAATTCCTGTTTCTCCACATCTCTCGGCTGTCTCTAATTCTGTCTTTCTTGTCTGCTTTCACATCCTATCTCCCCACTCCTTTTCTCACTCTGGCCTTCATGCCGTCTTTCCTTTGCTCTTCTTCACTTTATCTTCCTCTATCTGTCAGCCTTTTATCAGTCTCTCTGTGTACATCTGGTCCACTCTCATCTCTGCCTCTGCTTTTCAGCTTATCAGCTGCTTACTGTCAGTTTTGTCTGCCTCTCAACTTTTTTTTTTCTTTTCTTCTCAAAATCATCTGTAACTTTAGCCCTACAAACACCCCCATTTAATCACATGACAGTCATACTATTAAGTTCAAACTTGAGTCATATGACGTTGAGGTAGAAGCATCTTTTTAAGGGGCTGAACACCGAAGTCGGTTTTAATCAGGCTCACCGACTCTTTGCGTAAGAGAGGCTTCATTAATCTCTTCCGTGAAGGGAGGGGAAATGGGAATCATCACTTTGTTCCACGCTGTCTTTCAAGTCTGTCACATAAACTCCCACATTAGATACAGGCACGTAAACATACACAGGTTATGTATGAACGCACGCGCTGTATGGCTGAGTGGAGAAAAGCTGCTGTTTCATAAGCCAGGTCGTGCCAGGTCAGACCCGCCAAACATTTTTCCTCCTCAGCTCGTATCATTCCCACTCCTCTCTTTACTCTCTGCTGTCTATCCAATCACTGCGTCTTCATCTTATATTTGTCTCTTTCTCCCAATCTCCCCAGGCATCTATTCATATTTGTCATGTTTTCTCTGCTTGTTTTTTTGGTTTTTTTTGTTTCACTTTTTTCCCTCTTCTGTCATCTGATTTGTTTTTTTCCTCCTTTCTATTTTCTGCTTTTTCTTTTTATGGTTCCTTGATCACCTCAGCTTCATATATGTTTATATATAGACTACCTTTATTCTGCTGTAATGGGGCCATTGGGCATTTGCATGATCTCCCTTGTTGAGATACTGTAGCTACTTTAATTGCTCATTTCCATCCGCACAGGTTACGAGGCCACTTGTCATATTATTTGTCTTTTGTCTCTACAATCTACATTAAATAGTGGATATTAGAAAGAAACTCCCATTTACATATAACAGACCAAGTGAATCCAGGTGCAGCTATGAGCCCATATCCTCTTCATGGTTGGGGGGATTTTTAGGCAAATAATTTTTATTCTATACTATACTCTTCTGATAAATGTGTCATTTTTTCAATTAGTTGATTAAACATTAGTTTAGAAAGGGCAGAAAACGTACTAGAGCTGTGTGAAGTTATTTAAGAGTCTCTGCTTGCTCTGACCAACAGTCTACAACCCAGATTCAGTCAGTTAACCCCTTAACACCAAGTTTCTTTCCCCTCTAAATACCCTTTTTATGTATCACATATGTATTCTGGATCCGTCAACTCTTCACTACTTTATATAAGACTCCCACGTTGGGGTTTTTTGGGCTGCACCGATCTATTAGATAGTCGAAATGTTATACAAATTTTATGCGCATTTTCCCAAAGTTCAGTTGACATATTTGGTATCTATCGAAACGTTGGGGGTTCAAAGTTATTTGTGTTTGAACAAAGCCTGGACAAACAAGATAAGCTTGTACTGGCTTTTCTTCCAGGTTGGCTGTGATATAAAACTGAGAAACAAAAAATCCTTGCATTTGAGAAGCTGGAACCATTGTTAGTTTGGCATTTTTGCTTGATAGATTCATTAAAAAGTGCACAGCAGAGATTTGTGATACACAAAAAAATGTTTTCTCAGATTTCTCACTCACCCTGGCAATTTTCTTTTGATGATTTTAAATCCTGCATTGTGTACATCTGTTGGTTACTAGCTTGCAGTCTTCTTCTCCCCTGCCTTTGTTGGTAAACTGCTGCATTCTTGGCACATACTTGCCACCTGTAGGTTAGTGGGATGGTGTGAAACCATTAGCGGGAATGTTTATTGTGTTTTTATGTGCATCCTTGTGCGCTAGACCAGACAAACAAAATGCAAACCCACATTAAAAGACTGGTCCATAGCTCTGCTAGAAGTACTCCACATGAAAACCTTTGATTAATGTTTCAGATGTTAATTTTCTATCAATAAATCATGTCAGCGCTTCAGTTTTTACTTGAGCAACACTCTAAATCCCTCACTCACCAACTGCAGCTGTTTCAGAATAAGAGTGTCAGCTAAAGGCCTGAATCTAAAACACCTGCGCTGTCCCCTCACTAAACTTTAATGTCTTCTCTTGTCCTCCTGCCTCCCTTTTGTCTCTCTCCTCTCTTTTAACTCTTCTTTATGCTTTCTTGTGTATCCCTACATTCCCTTCTATTTCTATCGTCTTAAGGGATGTGAGAATGTTTTTAAGAACCAGCCAGTCCAGAGGGATCCTGTGGCGTTTTTTAAATGTTGATTTCTTTCATCAGGCGTTGCCAGTGACTTGTCACCTAGTGGGATGTAGCTCCCATATAGGCACTACGTTTAGCTGAGAAATGTCTTAAGCGTTTAAAATCCCCAGTGCTATAAAGAGTCTTAAATGCCTGGAGGACAAGCCACTTGAAACACAGACAATAGCAGACTAATTCTAGACGTCTTACTTTTTAATACTTTCATGTTGTTTTCTTATTCCTTTGTGTGAAGTGTGCTGTCCTGTGAGGAATTACTATATCGTTTTATTATGACTAAACCTCAGTGACAGGGACTGGATGACTACAGTTTGGCCTGTATGTACAGTATATATTGCATTGTATATGTCTGTACAGTATATATTGCACTGTATATGTCTGTACACTATATGTGGAACTGTAACGACTTACACACTGCCAACACACTGTTTTTGTGTCTCTTTCTCAGTTGTCAGAAGCCAGGGACAAGACACTTGAGGGTTTGAATCGAACGGTTGAATACAAAGAGCTCAAAGGCAAAGACCCCTCAACTGTGGAACTGGTCAAGAAGATTGAGCAGGTACAAAACAACATTACAAGGACTCTGTGTGTGCAAACATTGTATAATAGCATTGCCAACCAGCCTTGCACATGGTATCTCTTTAAAGAATTTAGGTCATATTTCCATTTATTTTTTCCCTTTTCTTTTATGACACTTTTATGAACTATGCAGGAGTAAAACTTAACGATACGTGAAAAAAAAAGACCTTAATCACTTTGTAACTATGCATGTAGCTGGAGGTGAATCTAGCAGAGAGCGAGAGGCAGGTGCTGGAAAGAGAACTCCTCGTGGACCAGGTGACCCGGCTCTCGAAGCCACTCAGCGAGCAGGCTGAGAATTGCCAACAGGACAGACTCTCACTGGCGAAGAAGGTAGTCAACAAGATCCTCTTGCACACAGACAGAGATGAGGCTCAGCTCATGCGTACACACACAGGTTGAACAATACAGACAAAAGAGTATACACCCAGATTAATACACACACATGCAAAAACACTTATATCGCTTCATTCACAGTCTAGTTTTTTACCTCTGTGTGTCCATGTGAGGAGCACGCAGAGTGGGCATTAAGGAGTTCAACGAGCATTACAGTTTCCTCGTACTCTCACTTGCTCTGTCTCTGTCTCCCTCTTCCTTTCTCCTTGGCTGTCTGTCTCTCTCTCTCTCTCTCTCTCTCTCTCTCTCTCTCTCTCTCTCTCTCTCTCTCTCTCTCTCTCTCTCTCTCTCTCTCTCTCTCTCAGCAAGTATAAATAGCTTCAAGAACAAGGTTCATTACATGTAATAAAAAAAAGCATTTAATGATTACATGAAAATCTCAGTGTAAAAACGTATAGGACTAGGTAACTGACTAGATGCATTTATGTACATGTATGCAACTACAGGTACAGTAGAAGTCATATTGGATGATTAGGTTCACAACTTTTGTGTGTATCAGAACATTGTTTATGTGTTTAAATGCATTCAGTGTGAAACTCATCTAATCTGTGTGTGTGTGTGTGTGTGTGTGTGTGTGTGTGTGTGTGTGTGTGTGTGTGTGTGTGTGTTATCTGCTTCCAGTTAAACAAGCTCCGAACTCACATAATCGACACCAACCACCGTTTGATGGCCATTTCTGCAGAACTTTCCATGAAGCAAGCTGCTGCTTTGTCTCTCCAACAAGAAATCAAAGAGAAAGAGCACCAGGTCAGCCCTCAGCTGCACATTCTCCCCTCAGTCCCCCACTGTCTTTCCCATTATTCCTGTCACTCTCCACTGACCGCGATCGAAGACGGCAAGAAGTGTCTCAGAAATGTCTCACTGTGTCTCATCTGTCTCATCAAACTCGTGTATTTTGCTTACTTGCACAGTAAAACGAATCCAGGGGTAAACACAGGGAGACAAAATAATGTTCAGGAATAATTTAAATGAGATTTAAAAGAAACAATCAAACAAAACAATCAAATTAATTAGTGCTAACACAATAGCTGAATAGGGAATCTGGATTAATATTTAGCAATGGTGTAGAACATTCACACTCACCATTGGTCCCACCACAAGCAGTTTTAAAAACAGGCTATCACCACACAGTTTACACAGTAGCTGTTCTGGAGTTTTTGATCACATTACATGATCTTCCTCCACAGATGGCGTTTCCGAGTTGTCCTGGAGATGTAGATGTTTTTCTGAGCACCAAAACACTCCATAGAACTGAGGGAACTGCACAGTTGATCATTCTCTGTGGGTTTGTCACTAGAGGCGTCCCCTTTCACATTACTCATAGTAATTACATCCATTGTTAATGTAAAATATTTATTAAGTTCAGCTTTAAGGTAATCATTTAGTTAACTTTGACAGTCGAAGCCTGCATGATTGCACTGAGAAAGTGAACTCCTACAAATCATATTATGTTTTACAGTTTCACACGTTTCAACATCAAATCCTGAAACTTTATTTAAGATACATTTCCATTCAGAAGTGAACAGGCAGTACTTAACTAATCATGTCACTTGATTTTGATTGATATCAGCCATCCACACCATTACTATGATTATTCTTTCACATTTTCCTGTTGAGTTGGAGGGAAAATAATCAACCATTATGGATTTTGTGAGGCGTAAGGGAAAGCGAAAAAGCTGTTAGCTAAGTCATCATTTAACTGAGAAATTTTGAATTTCTGACTCTGGTTTGGACAGAAAGTCTAAGTCCTCTGTCTCAATAAAAAATTAAACTACAAAAGAAAATGAGAGAATTCCCCACATGCCTTGTAAATGTTTCAAGAGATGTGCGTTAATAACCTGAAGAACCCCTGCAGCTGATGTATGCCTGCAGTGCGCCGCAGACACAGCGAGAAAATGCAGAGGCATATCTTTGCCCAAATTCTGACACTAATACGACCATCTGTTTTCGGGCGCAGTTAGAATTGAATTGAGCCAGGAAAGTGCAGAGTGGACTGAGTGATAGGAATACAAAGTGAATGTTTCTCGCACTGCCCCTGTGTTTCCAGATGGACAGGTGCCAGCAGCAGCTGGAGCAGGGCCTGCCACCATGCCCTGAGATAGAGGAGGAGTGGAGGAGGATGCTCCGAGACAAGAAGAGAAGACAGAGGGACAAAGAGGAGAGAGAGAGGGTAAAGAAACACACAAAGATCACTGGTCAGGAATTGATTAAAGCACTGAGGGGCAAGAAAAGAAGATAGAGTGACAAAGAAAAAAGAAGTGGAGCGGGGTGGGGGGGGCAGGAATCGATTAAGATTCTGAGGGACAATGGGGGCTGCTGTATACCTGAGCATGCACAGACAGGAGTGAGGGGAGAACTACCTGTGCACACACAGAGACTAGACAGGAACTAGAATAGTTTGTACCACATGCACAAACACAGGACAAGACTGGCTGACAAACAGAAGTAGAGGCTGTCTGCACAAGAAAAAGGCACACATACAGGGATCGGGCTGTGTCTGAAACCAGTCCAGCTGTCTGCAGCCTGCCTGTTGTTATACTGATCTCTATTTTCTCACCAGGTTTATTCCTGCTTATAGCCGCCGGCCCAAAAAGACATCACAATACACTGCATGCACAAAGCCAAACCGAAAAAACAGAAGGAAACCTGCAGAAACTGAAATGTTTGTCAGTCTATATAAAGAAATTCAAGTTTTCTACTTTTAGAGTCATTGCTAATCATGCATCTTGAGCTTCCTCCTAAAATGTAAATGTGCTTTGTGAACCCAGATAAGACAAATATGTTGTTTCCTGTTTGTATGTATTGGCAGTCGCCGGTATTTTTCCTCATTCAAAGCCATTATTCCTTGTTTTTTTGTGTGCACTCCTTAGATCACATGCCAGCGGATAAACGGTTCATATGCATGAGAAAATCGCCATCTCTTTGAAGTCACAGTTAGATTTAGGCACAGTGCATTTGCATGCTGTTGTGGGGTGAAAGTCAAAGGGAGGACTGTAGTGTCATGAGGACGTGTGCACACTGGAAGATTTTCTTTTTCCCAGCAGGAGTCTGCCATGGTTACAAATTGATCCATCAACCATATTGGGTTCAAATTAATTCTGTCAGCCGCTGTCAGTATCCTACAAGTCATATTTAAAAGGAGGAAAGTAAGTTTTCTAAACTTCTTACTCCTTTGATAAAAACATATATTGTTAGCTGAAAACTACAGTTCCCAGAAACAAATATTTAGCTTTTTGTAGAAAGGAAAATATATATTTGGGATCTGTTTTTAAAGATTTATCTCTTCAGTCGGAACAAATGGGCTGGGGGCTGAGAGCAGCAGACAGAGCAGGGTCAGAAAGTATCGAGTATGAACTAATGCACTGAGGGGGTTTTGGTGTTTTTATGGCATTTCTTGTCATCAGCAGCCGTTTCCTTTTATGTTTTTTATAACAGGAAAAACAACTTTTATTTGATGTTGTTGTGACCCAACATCCTGTTGGTGTGTCAGAGTCATCTGAACAAGTGCAGCTTACTGTGTCTTGGTCATATTGTATTCCAGAAACACAACATCCTGTATAACAAACCCAGAGCATCTCTAGGATCACTAATCTCTCTAATGTTTATTCTCAATTACTGAATTAATATGGAGAAAACATCATGCACTCAGATGTTCACTGGTGCCCTTGCATTTGTCTTGAGATGGTAAAAAATAAATAAATTGCCAGATTAATTATTCCATTTTCATGATTAGAATTCAGGAAAATGAAATTTTAACTATTTAGTCCAAGGTCATGCGGTCTTACATCAAATATTAAAACTACCTCTGGTGTGTGTGTGTGTGTGTGTGTGTGTGTGTGTGTGTGTGTGTGTGTGTGTGTGTGTGTGTGTGTGTGTGTGTGTGTGTGTGTGTGTGTGTGTGTGTGTGTGTGTGTGTGTGTGTGTGTGTGTACAGCTGGCTGAAGAAGAGGAGTGGAACCAGTTGCCTAACGGAGAGTACACCACAGCCGAGACCCGACCCAACGCTTACATCCCCCAGACTGACACGCTCCCTCTGCCCAAACCCTACGGAGCCCAGCCCCCCTTCAGACCCTCCCAACCAGGAGCCAGTATGAGACATATCCGCAAACCAACGCTCAAACCCTTAGAGATATAAAAACACACACACACAAACTCGTGCCGGTTTGGTTCATGTCTTGTCCTTCAGAAACATTTAATCTCCACGTGAGGGATCGGAAATTTAAAAAGCAAATGAGCATTTTTAAAGAATCTTTTTGGCTGATCCCTATCACACCTCTCAGGGCCGCCTCCTCTCTGATTCCTGGGTATTTTTGTGAGCTCACTGTCCAGAATACCAGTGCTGTTTTTGTTATGTGCATCTGGTAGTAATTTTGTTTCCTTGTCTTTTTTTTCTTTTTTTTACATTTACTGGCAAGAGCTTGTTCTCACTTGCAGTAACACTAAATTCTGTAGGAGAGTGGAAGGGAAGACAGAGGACACGGGGAGAGATTAAGTGTGTGTGCGTGTGTATTGTTACATCATGTCCAACCAATAAAAACTTCTGTTATTATTTCTGTACTTGGCAACACCCCATTATTGTCTCACTACCTTTATCTCAGATAGGATTAATTAATTTCTATGGGACAACTGGTATATTTCAGTCCTGTTGCCATCTCATCCCCCGCACATGTAATCTTTTCAGCTGATGAACACATTGCAATGGGTTTAAGCTCTAAGCTAGGCTAAGAGTGCCTGCTTAATGCCTGAGATGATAAATGTAAATACAGAGAGGAAGATCAGGCAATGAAAGAGCATAAAGAATGACGAGAGAGGAGAATTTTAAATGAAGAGGAACGAGAGATGGCAGCTGGAAAAGGTTAAAGAGTTAAAGAAAATGATGAAAGCGGAGCTCTAAATGTGGCGGAGAGTTCAGAGTTGGTTACTAGTGACCAAAAACAAAAAGTCACTAGTCTTTGAAGCTCCTGAAAAACTTACTGGAAGTCGTTTTATCTGTCGATCTTGAGCTGGAGGTGAAAGCAGTTCTGGTGTTGGCGAGCTTGTTTTGCTGCATGTTCGCAGCATGTGTATGTTTGAAGTTCATCTGGGGACGATTACTCTATACACACCAGCGGTTCCCGACTACTTCTGTTCTGATGCAGTTGCTCAATTACAGAGGAAAAAGAGGGAAAAAAAACATTTAAGTAAGAATCTGATCAGAAAGTATGAGCAAGTTGTTTACGAGAAATAAACATCCAAATATAGTTTAAATAAATTGGTACCATCTTGATCTTTAATATATTTATTGTCGCAATAATTAGTGAGCTTCCCCTCCCACACATGGGAATTGGTTGTAACACCATTGAGAGTGCATGAAAAGTAGTTAAAAGTAATGGATGAAATAGGATATAATGAGGATAAACAGTGGAAATAGTGTAAAAGTAATGGATAAATCATTGAAATATATCCCGGATTAACAGTTTAAATACAGTCCTTAGCTGAAAAAGAATTCATAAACAATGCATCCATTATTTTTAGCTAATTATTTAAACAGTAAAATGGCTTTAGAGGTATGTTAATGGATACATGGTTGAAAGCTAAAAGTTAAGATTAAAGAGTTGAAACTGTTTGCCAAAAGTTAGTTAAAGCATAAACAGTTGAGACATTTGCTAAAAGTAATAGATAAACTGTGTGATGAATGGCTTCTGAGCTCATCTGATAGGGATGCTGGGCTGCGTCTAAAAAACCGAGCTGAGTTAAAATTTTTGCAGCACACGGGAGTGAGAGAAGGCAACGGATTGAGTTTATCTGATTCTGAGGCAGGCCTGTCCACCCAGTGGTGTGTGTGTGTGTGTGTGTGTGTGTGTGTGTGTGTGTGTGTGGTGTGTGGCGTGTGTGTGTGCGTGTGCGTGTGCGTGTGCGCGTGAGTGATCATCCACTGCAGGCTGATGGCGAGAGCTGTCATATAAACTTAGCCCCCAACTGTTTGTGCTTATTAGCCGGCTACATAACACTGACTGCATAACAGAGTGCGGAGGAAGCAACAGAGAGGGGAATGAGGGATTTATTCACATTTAAAAGAGGAGTTCCCACACAAGAGAAATGATTTGAGACGACCATAACAGGGTGGTAAAGGCGTCGATGTAGTAGTGTGAAACAAAACACGTATCACACGATGGGTGTGTTCTTCCGTAAATGTGACTCATCATGTGTGATGACTGATGCCGAGTTTGTTTTCTGAGTTCAGTGAATCCGAGAGCACACTTCCTCCTCTCTAGTGCTTTTTTTTTTTTTTGAGCTACAAACTATTTGAAAACCCTGAGACAGTTGCACTGTGGAGCCGAGGTACATTAGGAAATGATCTCAACTTGCAGTCAGAGTATCAGAGGAAATTCATTGGAAGCAACGTAAGCCAAGGCCTGACTGTCGCCCCCAAAGCTGCTACGCACACCATGTTCCTCAACAGCACGACAGCAATCAAGAAACATACAGTAAAAATCTCTTTATTCACAATTCATCATACAAAACTTTTTTTTGTGTAAACATAATAAACATTACAAAATCCCTTTTATTTTTTTTTTTTCTTCAGAGGAATCTTAATTTCTCGAATCAAAGCTCGACACGAGATGTAAATGATCTCTGGTGTTCAGTCACAGATGGTGCCAACATTCAGCCGCCGTGAAAAGGATTACGAAAGCTACACGCAGCACCACTACAAAAGAATTTCTCCACTTACAGTTAGAGCTCAGTCATGATTGAGGGCACATGGGTGCATTATTCAAACCAGACGTTCGAGTGTGTGTGAGTGTGTGTGAGTGTGTGTGAGCCGGAAGACTGAGGAACGTCAGGCTTTTCTTTGTTATTATTTCCTTATTATCCACACTGCACTATCTTTGTTTGATTTTATGGTATGTAAAGCATTTTGTAGGCAGATTTCGCAATGTGCCATATGAATAAAGTTACTAAAGTCGGTTGAGTCTGCCCTTTCCCGGACTCATACGAAAAGCCGGCTGATCAGATTAATGATCCCCATTTTTCTTTGGTCAGCTAGTTCCTGATTTAAAGTGAGACGCAGTAACTTGGCTGATCAGCTTAAAGGAAGTGACAATATCACGTTTTGTTTTGTTTTTTTGCATCATAAGCGATACCAAAACCCTGAGAGTATGGAATTTAGCAATAGTGTTTTATTGCTTATGAATCCAACTTTCTGTATGAGTAAGAATGTGTTAGTTTGTCTTATAAATAGTCTCAATCACACTAGTTACAATACTAGTAAGCCAAAGTTTTTATATTTATATTTATTAAGGTAAGCGATCATTTTGTACTAAGAATATGTTACTTATTTAAAGGATGTTGCAATCCTCCAGGATGTTGCAATGTTGCGATCGATTAACGATTAATGCAAATTCAACCAATCCCTGTTGCAATTTTGTCCAGTCATCGCAACTCTTCTGCAAATGTGACCAAATCATTGCAGTTTCCTGTACAAAACACTGAGCCCTACGTCACCACACTGACTGCATTGTTCCTGGTTACGAAGACGCAGACGTGTGTGAACAAACGTCTCACATTTACCCTGCGAACAGAGCGATTTTATTCTCACTGGAACAAGTTGTCTTTAAATTTTTAACAAATTATGCTATTTATTATTTATAACTATTTTTGCAGTTATCCCTTTGTTACTCAATTTCATTGCAAAAAATACCTAAAAGCAACCTAAAAAGCAACATGAAAAGCTGCAGTGAAAGCCTGGGGGGGACTGAAAAGTTAAACAGTGTCACTTTAAATCATAATTTACCAACTTTTACACTATTTTACTTGTTTTTTTTTAGTTAGTTCTTGTAGGATTGCTTTTGTCTTGCTGATGTTTTAAGATTTGATAACTGAGGTTCTGTAGAAAAACACATCTATTGTATCAAAGTAAGGTATCATTTTGTACAGAAACGCACCAGAATCAAAACACTGAAATGACACGCAGCCCTTATTATGACATCCAGCAACAAACAGTGAATTTCCTGAACATTTCAGACATGTTCCTGATATGAACACATCCTGTCAGTATACCAGTTTTGGTATGAAGTAACAATCACTGAGGAGTAAGAGTTTGCGTTTATCCTTACATTCAGTTTCCAACATCTAAATATCCATTTAGGGTTGTAATTTTAAATCTTTGCCTGTGCCAGTCAGTCTCCCGGAGTTATTCAGCTGCAAAGATTCTGTCTAACTCGTGCTTAAAATCAGATTTAATGCACGGCTGCCACTGACGGACCGTATCAAGCTACTCTGTCTTCGAAGGCCTTTTTTTTTGTCAGCATGTAATCAAGTTGATGGGGTGCAGCGCAGCATTACAGGAAACACAGGAGGATAAACAAGAGTGTTTGATTTATAAATACTGTTTGCGGTATTTGACACCGACGTTCATAAATTTGCGCGAGAGAAAGCGGAGAGGTCACGAGGGCTCTGGAGAGAATTGTTGCCGCCACAGAAATATGAGTTCATATAAATAGCTGCCTGCGGTTATTGATTTCCACTCAAAATCTGAAAAGCATGTTTTCCCAAATTAAATCAAACCACCGGCTGAAGATCCAAACTGTGTCCCCCTGTTGTGTTATTACTTTTGATACTCACTCATTGTTGTGTTGTGTAAAAAAATAGGTGCTGCTGTGAGTTTTGTATTTACTAAACAAGAGGTGGGGAAAAAAGCAGGGTCTATTTTTTCCCCATCCACTCTGCCTCCTATTCCATCTTCCCTTTCTGGGCGTCTCCATCCATCTGTCCCTCCGCCCCACCCTAATTTGTCATCAAACAGTTGTTTATGAGCGCTCTGACTTTCAATCCCCCCATTCATCTTTCGCTTCTCGCCCTCCATCACCCAGCCATCCGTTACTTGTCCTCAAGGCCCAGTCAATGATGACTGTTCCCTCAAACGCATTTTCCCCCTCATCTGTTTACCACCGTAATCCATCCATCCACTGTCCCTCCCCTGCTCCTTCTGCTCCCATCCACATCCTTCATTTTTCCTCAAAGCCCAGCTGTATTAGTGTCTGTTTCAGAGCCGTCTCCTCCACGAACCGGGCATCCACGTTCTCCTGCTCCTCGAAAGGGTTCAGAGCTGCAACACAGGAAGGAGGAGTTAGAGAGAGATACGGCTTCTTATAGAGAATATAACACCAGACAACCACTTCCTTTCCTTGCTCCTTCATGATGGGAGGCTGCTGAGTTCTGACCAAAACACGCACACACACAGGCGCACATGCTCTGTCTTAATCCTCCAAAGGCAGGATACACACACACACACACACACACACACACACAGACACACACACACACACACTACCTTGTTCTTCTATATCAGAGAGTATTTTTGCCAGATAGGTAAGAGGCAGAAACTCAGGTCTGACGCCCGGCTTGTCTCTGTCGGTGAATGCAAATCCCTGAGGAGGAAGGAAAAAAAGCAGAAACATAACTGTGGGTTCTGCAGGTTTTTTCCGGGATGCAACACAGTCGAGACAAATCTGCAGCAAATCCAGATACAATTCACATCGGCTCACTTGTTTCCTCTTATGGATGAAGTTGGCTGCAGTTTAACTTTTTTTTAGGGGGCAGCCCATACATTCTTATCTGGCATCGCGCGGGAAAATAATGCTCTCCATGCCGGTCCGCTAGCCAGTTAGCTGACTGAAACCGGCCAATAGGGTCGCAAAGTGGATAGATGCTGCGTTAGCTGTACAGCTGGGGGGTCACACATTTTATAAAGAAGGCCAAGGAGGAATGTCACATTGCAGGAAAAGACAAAGACAAAGTTTTTTAAGGCCTGCGAGGAGTCTGTCAGAAAATAACTACAGTCCAAAACCCAAACATACTGAATTTAAAAGGATATAAAAATGAGAAAAACCCACCGGCAAATGTTTGTAATTTTAACTAATTTATCTGCTACTTATGCCCAAATACCTGCAAAATGAATGACTTTCCCATTATTATTTATTATTGTGAGCATCTTAGCTCAAAGCACTGTTGTTGCTAGATAATAGGGCAGTGTATTGATAAGAATTTGGCAATATGATATGTATCACAATGCAGGGGTTACAATTCAATATATTATACAGTGTAAGCAAAGGCAATATACTGCTTTTTTCAAAATCAGATTTTAGGAAAACTGTTTACTTTTACTTTTATGATGCAACCAGAGCAGTGTGATCTGTATTTGTCTTGTTTTATGGTCCCTGTAGTAACCAAAATCATAGCCCTCACTACATTCAAAGCACAGCTGTTTAGCAACTGGGGGATTTAAGACAAAAATCAATACGGTATTTTTGAGAGTTGGTACAATATCGCAAAACAAAACATTACGATATTTTTCGATATTTTCACACACCTTTTCTTGATAAACGACTAAATTTCTATCAACTAACCCTTTCAGCACTACAACATTTAATTTCACACTCGTGTTTTCTGGAGGATTTTCATTAATGTCTGGGAGATTGTTTGTTTTCGCTGGTCTGCAGTGCTTTGAGAGGGAGAAAACTCACTGCAGCATGCATCAGACACTGTATTGTGTTACCTTGTTTTTGTTGTGTTTCTCCAGCAGAGTTCTGACATAATCTCTGGAGATTGAAGCTGAACTGACAGGATGATCCCACATGTGGTAGATTGTCTGCTCCATAGGCTACACACACACACACACAGAAACAGAAACAATCAAGTTTTACATTTTAGGCATGAAGCTTGTGTTGTCATGAATAAAAATCATCCCTGAAGCATGTGAACATCTGTCCCTTTCTATTCGCCAACTGGAACTCAAAACCATTATCGAGGAGTTGACTGCTAATGAGGGATTACAGAGAAATCTCATTTTTCAGTGTTGTGAAATGAACACCGCGGTGATAAATAACACTTAGGCAAACAGAGACTGCAGTTGTGGCCCACAATAAGGAAGAACCTAAGCTTTTCCTCGAGGCTGGTTTCTGTCCAGCTTCAAAGTCGCTGCCAAGCTGACACAGAGCTGCCGAATCACTCCAGGGATTGTGTTATTATCGAGTGGAGACGAGCACAACAAGTCCTCAAATGTATACGTATATTCGTATTATTGGTGCTAGAACTACTTTTGCCGGATTATTAATCTCACTCACAACTCGTCATGGAGCTGTTTGTTTATGTTGACATATGCAACAAGAGGTCAAGTATATATAACTTTGTTTTAATGGGCCTTGTAATAAGAATCATTTGCTGAACTTTCAAAAAGAATGCAATGTGAATAAGATGACCAAATAAAGTGATTCAGTGCTTGTATTATTGAGCTGGAACGCTCAAATATGCTCAAAAGAATAGAAGCTCTCTACTGCAGCGTGGCCTTAAAATCCTTAAGAGGATAAGATATATCTCAGTATTACAAAAAACAAATGCACTCTCATCCAGAAGATGGAAGAAAGTTTCTGCACCTGGATTGAGTTGCACCAGCTGTTTAAGTAAATTCATTACTAAGATCACGCAGGAAAGTCCTTCGTAAATTCTTAGTGGCTACAAGCTAGTTTCAAACTAGTGATTCACTCACTCAGGCTGCACCAGTTCTTTATAATGTCTAATGTCGGGTTTATAGAAAACATATTTAGTTCTGTCAAGTTAAAAGTAATCAACTCACTGTAGTAGCATCACAAACTTACAGGTTTAGGGGGGATGAACAATACATTAAACACTGCCAACCCTCAGAAAATGTAGCTGTTACTTTATTTATCTACAATGCATATGCACAGATGGAGAAATATTAGTAGTATTCATGCAATGAGCAGGAATTATGGTCATTATTAATTATTATTAATAAATAATTATTGGTCATTTAGCAAAACGTTATTGGCATAAAGTTGTTGTTTTTGAGGTATTCACACTGTTATTAAACCATTGGGTCAGATGGGTCGGCCACGTCCCATTTTCCTTCCTTCCTTTGTCAGTTAAATTCAATTAGTTACAAAACATTCACACTTGGACTGGTTACTGGGTGTAAATACTTTTTATTTTTTACTTAAGTATGTGGTGCCACCTGTTTTACATGAGTAGTAGCCTACATCTTGACTTGAGATGAACACTACATTATAATCATGCTAAGTTTGAACTCCCGAAGAGCTGGAGCGACCGGCTCCTGATCTCCTGAAATGGAGAAAGGGTTTACTGGAATTCCATGAGGGTCAAACACAATACAATAACATAACACCCCGGTAATAGAATTACATGGGGTGCTGGGTTTAGTCTAGATATGAATTTCCTACAGTGGGCCAACATCCCCTGTTTTCTAACTCTCTGGGAGTGTGTGTGTGTGTGTGTGTGTGTGTGTGTGTGTGTGTGTGTGTGTGTGTGTGTTGTACCTGCTAAATCTCTCCTGCCTGCCAAACTCACCCAACAAATGTCTGATGAGCAGGAAACAGAACAGAAACACTAAACACTCAACATTCCTCTGATCATAATGTGGACGGAGCACACACACACACACACACACACACACACACACCGGTTACACAAAGAAATATACTGTATCCACACGGGAACACGTGGAAGTTACACAAGAGTTAGGGACACACATAAACGCACACGCACACATTCAACCTCAGTACCTACACTACCCCATGTCAGCACGCGCACACAGACACAGACACACACACACACACACACACACACACACACACACACACACACACACACACACACACAAGCCGGTTACACAAGTGCTCTGCGATTGGCTTGAGGGGGGCTTGAGGGAGATGAGACCTAAAATAACTTCAAACTCTTAATTGGACCAGAATGGGAAGTTTGGGGAGAGAGCCATTCGAGAAAAAGATCAAAACTTCCCCCTCACTAATAGATGGGATTATAATAGCCTCGTGCATTGTTTTACTCCGTATACCATCCAGGCTGAGAGATCCACACCCGACCACGGACTGGTACATTTCAGTTCTGTCCTCCAAAGTGTGTACGCTCACAACATGTCGCCATTTGGACGGTGATATGCGAAGAGTTTATTTTTTGGAGCGATTAGACCACATAGAAACGGTTGAATAAGCTCCTTTTAATCTTTCCCTGTCCGATCAGCTAATCTAAACTACTCCCGGTGCTGAATAAAAAAACCTCATGTTTTGCCACACACACTCAAACACACACAGAAGTACCTCGGGGAGTCTCTTAAGTATGCTGAACTTCAGTCTCTCGTTGGCATCGCTGTTGTCCAAATCTGAACACAAAGAGAAAGGAAAAGAGAGGAGACATGGTGCTAATTACTCTTCTGAAGTAAAAACCTCACACGGGAGGACAAATAATGTCATGTCACACCTTCTGTCTGTGCTTGTGTATCCAAGTTAATTGCTCAAAATCCTTTGAAAGGAAACATGGGATTAAAGAGTTATTAGTTTCTTTTTCTGGAGACATGGAAGATAAAGTAAATGCAAATTAAATTAATAAAATCCCAGATTGCTTTAACTAATATAAATATTCTTGCCATGTGCTGATTTCCCGAGATAAAAAACCCATCAGAGGGATATTTCACTTTCATAGAAAACAGACAATGTTTCAGTAAACAAGGCTTCACAGGTGATCGCCCAAGCAAAGAGGATTTTTATTTTGGCTTTAAGAAAGTTCAGGCAGGTGCACTGTTTGTGCTGTAACCCATCAGTTCGAAGAGGAAGAAGAGCAGACAGCCCCTGACATCCTTCGACCTGGCCACTCGCTTTGGCAGCTCCTGGACGACTCCCAGTTGCTAAAAAGCATTCTGGGAGTTGTAGTTCATCTACGATGTCCTAGGCATCCAACCCTGTCTTCGGGCTGTATTGTTATAGAGGAGCAAAAACCGCCCACGCTGACTTCTCAAAATGTGGGCGAGCAGATGATGAACTCAAGAGTTGTTCCCAGATTATTAAACTCCTTTCTAAAAAACTGTCTTCACCAACACAGCCCAAAACTGCAGCAGCTGCAAATGATGATCTGTTTTACCCTCGAACTACCTGAACTAATCCACTAGCAGAAGTTATTAGAAATGCTAGCAGGAGCAGCCTTACAGTATGGCAATGTCGGTCAGTTGGTCAGTGCACCATTCAGACTTTTCATCAAGCACCATAACCGGGTCCAAATTTTGATTTGTTGAATACTGATGACATTCTATGCAAATGATGTTCTAATATTCACCATTAAGACGCTGAACATGGTGTATAACATTATACCTGGTCATTAGCTTAAAGTACAGTCTTAAAGACACACTAACATGGCTGTAGACTTTAAATCTTGTTCACTCCCCACTTGAAAAAGGCAGCAAGATCATAATTGTTGGATGTTGAATTTGAAGAATTAGCATTTTAAAGATTCGACAACACACGCAAGAGCCTAGAGAGTCTAATAATAGGACTGCATTGCCATTTTGTTTCTCTTAATGATTTATGTAAACTGTTGGAAATTGCTTGCATTTCAGAGATCCGGAACCAGACTAATATTGGTTAGACTGGAAAATTCTAGATGAACATATATGTTTGTGTGTGTCATTTAATGGAGCAGAAAGTGCACACTTGACCAGACAATTACCATTTACTGATCTGATTAATCCCCGGGGAGGTGACGCATAAAGCCTCACTTCAAAGTCCAAGAAACTTCCTTTTCTCTCACTTTGAAGTTTGAAACCATTTGGCCTCTGTCCTTTACAATAATAACCTTTTCATCTTTGAGGATCTTTGTTTGTTCTCTTCACGAGAAAAGCACCATGTAAACTAAAAGATGAAGGGTGATGAGGAAGGCCAGATATTTTGGTTCTGTTGATCTCAGTGCCAAGTTAGAGTGTTTAGCCTCTGAACAATGTACTTTTTTTCATGGTATGAAATCCACACCAGACACGCTAAATACATAATATCACTGTCTTTGAGAAAGGCACTGAATCCCCATAGTAGCTCACCTCAACCTCTGACCTCTCTGTGCATACAAAGTTCCTTATTTCATGTGTCAAAGTAGTGAACCTTCACACGTATTCACCAGCAGACTGAGATAACTACAGCTTCCTGCCAACATGCTCTACCAGTGGTCCCAGCTGTGTGGCGTGACCAGCTTTTAGAGGTTCAGTGGTCACAAGTTGATTAATTTTCAGCCACAACCATGAATTCTGTTCCATCATATAGCACTTAAATTAAATTAATAAATCAGACGTCAAATAAAAACAAACACATTAGTATAAAAATTCAGTCGCTCAGTTTTTTTATTCAGAAGTCAGTTTCTACTTTTCCAGATGACACTTTTATTTCACAAGGTCACTTTTGGTGTTCCCAGCCTCTCTTAGCATCACCAGCTGTTACCTAAATTTAGACTGCTAGCTCTTGTTAGTGAAAAGTGAAAGTGAAAGTGAACAAAACTGAATTAGTTACCAGTGCAGTTTATGTTAGAATCACTCGACTTCCCCAAGAGGAAAAACAAAATGTTATCATGGGTTTTTGTCAGCTCTTTTCGCTTTCCAAGGTAAAAATACATTAGCTATTCTATTGTATGAAGAGGGGGGAAAAGCAGTGACCACAGAGAGCAGTCACATATCAAACTAAAAATGTCCATTTCATTTGCCAGGTTCTTCACCCCAAAAAGTGGAACAATCTGGGACGGACATGGCAGCATTTTTTTTACTATTCACCGTGTGGATACTCTGAGCCCTGGTGGCCCTTCCAGTTGTGTTTGTACCAAGAGAGGTGAATCCTGAGGATGAGCAGATTGACAGACGTTCTTGCAAGAATCAGAGGATCACACCGGTGCTCGAAGCAGTCTCTATCTTATTTATAGTTTCCAGCTATCGAGTCTTGTTGACTTTCTACCTGCTACTTGTTAGAGGTCTCAATGGAACCCAAATGCCAAACAGGAAACAGCCTGGAGTTACTGAACTCGTCATTCGAATAATTGCTGTTTCTCCCATTACTGGCTGTTTTCCTCTCTTTCTACGTGTGCTGTATGAGGCTGCAGTTTTCACAGCATCAGACGGACTTCTTCTGGTTAGTAAGATGCTGACGTTTGGAGAGTGTTTTTACTTTTTCACTCACTGTCTGAATCCTTTCCTGTATTTCTTTGCCTCACTTCACTACAGGAGTGAAAGCTACACTAAGAAAAGGAATCTCCTCATGCCCCTTAACGACACCTAATATTATCCCTAGATAATGAATGGTTTCACATTTTAAACTTCTTTATACTAATGTGGTTTCATACATAGCAAAATAATGCTACACTCACAATGATGGTCTTGGAAATACTGAATACAGTATGTCCCATTTGTATTTACTGTGCAATCCGGACTGAATTTATCAACTTAAAGACCCAATCCGATCCAAGTCATTTATTACTGAGTATCTGCCATTACCGAGCCCTAATCCAGTACTTGTATTTTTTTTAGATAATACAGGTGCACATTACACACTTCAAGTAAATTAAAGTTACTAAAATCAATCCATTGTACATGCCTGACAATTGAATAGCTCTGCATTGCATTAAGAAACAAAAACGCCTGCATCGTTCCTTAATGGGTTTTTTACATTTTTTTACACAATAAAATATAAAATAACAAACCCTCTGTAATCTTTTTGCCTTGTCACTGTCCTGAGGGAGTTTCTCTCTCCAGTGCTTGGTGCTTCAGTGCAGCCTTTGTCTGAGTTACCTGAATGAAATGATCTTTTGCGGGGATTACATTCATTAATTACTCTTATTGGCTTTTTGTTTGCGGGACTTGTTGTTGCACTCGCAGTGGCGTGTTGAGCGAGGCTGTGTCAGATATATACCGCTCTCTCACACACAGAGTTGCATTCAGAATCACACTCTTTGTGATTTACAGGAGACTTAACCAGCTGAATGAAAGAATAACAAGACTTAAAGGCTCCACTAGCAGCTATGTTTGCTATGGTTTGAGCTAAATGCTTACCACAGCCTGTTAACATGCTAACAATGGCGATGCTAACATCTACACATTTAGCAGTTATAATGTTTACCATGTTCATAAACCAAAAAATTTAATCTTGACCAGATGGTGGCGCTACATGGAAAGTTATGGGGTCAGTAAGGTTATTACAATTCATCCTGAGGGGAACATGAACGTCTGCACCAAATTCCACGGCAATCCATCTCATAGTTGTTCAGATATTTCAGTCTTATCATCATACATACACGTATCGTATTTTTTTCTTGTAAAATTTCTCATATGCAAAAAAAAAAAGCTTTAGCACTCTGTGTTTGAGCGTGTGTGTACCTGTCATGAGCCGAGACACAAAAGTTTCAGTGAGCTGCAGGACACCGTGGTCAATGTACTGGAGGAAGGTGTGATGAGGGAGGCAGCGCACAGCAAACACTGCTAACAGGGTGTGATAGCCTGGAGGGGAGAGAGAGAGAGAGAGAGAGAGAGAGAGAGAGAGAGAGGGGGGGGGTAGGACAGATGGGGAAAAAATAAGAAGAGACATTTGAAAAGTGAGACAAGACTTACAGTCAACCATGCTACAACTCAGAGAAATGCCAATGTGAACATGCTCACATTGACAACGCTGATGTTGATGTTTAGCAGGTATAATGTTTACAACATTCACTGTCTTATTTTTTGCCAATTACCTAATGTCAGCATGCTAACAGATGGTGAAGTTCAGCAAAGGCTGACGGGAATGTTTAGTCATAAACCAAAGTATTATGCAATGCTGCTGGTGTGGCTAAAATAATGTTTAAAAAATGAAGATCTTTTGGCAGCAATGTATGATTGTTTTATTCAACTTTTATTTACCTAAAGGGAACAGGTGTGCAGCCTTGCCTCAGATAGGATCCTACCCAACAAACTTTTATAAGCGAGTAAAATCGTGAGATTGCGTCACAGGGGGTTTAGGACGCAAAAAATTGGAAAATGAATTCAAATGATTGAAAATGTATTCACACTCTGTTTTACCCGTGTCTGCACTATGCTAATGTTTAACATATTTTTGGTTACATTAGTGCTAAAGTGAGCGGGTCTGTTGTCCCTCTGTGCCAGCACACATTGTTTTTCTGGGTGAGACAGAGACAGACTGGATTATAACAGCTGAAAGTGTTGTTTGTGTGTGTGTATGTGTGTGTGTGTGTGTGTGTGTGTGTGTGTGTGGATGGTACCAGGTGGGAGGGGTAGGCAGAGACCTCTCGTGGCTTCCAGGATCCGAAACATGAAGTGAAACACGGACCACTCGGCTGGACTGCCCCGCTGTGTGCTGGAACACACACACACACACACACACACACACACAGAAAAATTCGGATCGGGAATGTTCCGTGAGCGCACATGTGAGGAGGGGTCATTGACAATTTTGCACATGTGGACACACACACAGCGGGAAGCGATGGGGTCCGGAGCACACATGCGTGAAGATGAACACACACATTCTGTCAGCGCTTTATGCTTTACGTTACATTAGTTAGAAACACAACTTTAAAGGGAGACATTCTGACAAGGGAGGGCTACTCACAAGCACAAAACACGAGGGCCGAGTTTATGCTTCAGCCAGACTGACTCCAGCATGTGTCTGATGAGCTCCAGCTATACACACACAAACACACACAGAGACACGCACATGTTAGTGCTTAGGGAAGGAGATGCTCGATTAGAGTCAAATGAAACATTTTCCTCGACATAATGCTCGAGTCACAGGGCTGGAAATTTTGCACAAAACAAGCATCTTGTCTGAAAACATGCAATTTGGACATTATGTTTCTGTTATGATCAGTTTTTCTTCATAAAAATGTGTTCTATGATCAGTTTCTTCACTTCCCTTCCCCTTTTTATTTTCCTACTTCCCATTTTCATTTCCACTGAACAAGAGTAATGTAGCGGATCAGGGCGTGAGCGGCACGCACACATTCACACTCGACCACATCATTTCACCACACATCTGTCAGCATCCGGGGTGAATCCAATGTACCTGACTCGTCCGAAATGTGCCCGGTGGCATGCCGGAACACGCGCAAACACACTCCCTCCCTCCTTCCCACAAATCACCACTCTCTCATCTCCTGTAGAATAACAGGAAGACGATCTGCCTCATTCACATCCTGCACAGCAGTGGGAAACCTCCACCAAGCCCCTCCGAACAGCAGCAATAACGTCCTCCAGTGACCCCAGGATGGGAATTTCAATTAGCTCCACTTATGTAACGGACAAAAATAAAAGTGGATTCGAAGCCAAATGCAAAAATAAAATTCACTGGGTTTTTAACTTGCAGTTTTAATGTTTAAACTTTTTACACATTTTTATTAAGTTTATCAAAATGGGAAAATCACAAAAATTGATCTTTTATAGGCTAATTTGGGGGATTTTTAAGCTTTTATATTAAACTAATGAGGTGTTTTTCTCCATATTTTCAATTTCTTTCCCCCTCATGCTGACATTATTATTTTTTCTTTTTATTTATTTCAGTTATTTAGATTTTTTTTATTTTCTTTACTTTTTAAGTTTTTTAAAAATGTATTTTCATTTGATCTTTTAATTTGAATAATTTCTATTTAAATTGTTTTATTGTATTATTATAATTATAATTATTATTATTGTTATTATATTTTTTCCTTAAGGGGGTTCTTTTACACGTATTGTTTCTATTGTTTTCCATATGTTTAGATTTGTTTATTACATTATCTGTGACAAAGTGTTGAGGGAAGCCAGATGTGAAAATTCTCACAGTGGGATTGAAGCGTGTACTTACAGTATTCACTTGTCTGTCCGTTCGACTGTTTGATCCTAAGGAAAACTGCTGTGTGGTCGATACAGGTCTGGTCATGTTTTTAATCACATAGCCACAATAACGAAGAAGTGCTGCTTGATCTTTTTTGGGAATCCATTCCCTCTCTTGTGGACAGTGGTTACCTACGCCTTCCTACCTAACCTTCCAGTGGTTCTATTAATTTGTTACATTGAATTTGTCATATCGATTTAGAAACCTAGGGGTTCATTTTTCTGCCTCTGTCAACACAGAAGAAGAAATACTCGAAACAATTCCTCCACTGGTCTGTTAATAGTATCATTTAAATGTTCGATGCATTTTAACAGTTCCCAAAATCAGATATTCACTGCTTGACATAAAAAGGTAGCAACTTTTTTGAAAAAAATAAATTATTCAAATTGAATTTCTTTCTTTTCTAACTAACATCTCTTGTACTTGGTGCTGATGTAATCCAGGCCCCTGAAGATCATTAAAAAAAAGGATAAAAATATGTAGCTGAGATGTTTTTGTGCTGAAAACAAAGTCACACAAAAGACAAACAAGTGATTTAAAGCCACAGAGTCATGCACAGTTATTCCTGCATGGCTTTCTATTAGAATAAAATCTGGAATCAGCGATTTGTCTTAATGAGCCTCGGCCCGACAAAGAGACGGAATTTACTCAGTGTGGCTCCCCTGTTGAGACAAAGTTTAATAACCTTGGGTATAGAATAAGTTTTCTGAATAATTAAACATATTTCAACCTATTTCTATTCACTGCATTACTTTTAATATGTATTCCTGCTTTTAGTCATTCATATTCAGCTATTAGCAAGTTGTTCTTTGCTCTGACATTGGCTATGTTATAAAAAGGAATGCATCACGGTTGTCTGTAGCAACAGGGACAAGAAATAAATAACTATGACAATAATGTGCTCTGGAGCTGTAATGTATCATAGCAGAAGTTCCCTGGCTCTTAAAAGCTGTAATCTATTTCTCCCCCAACTTCTCCCCTGTGTCAACGCAGCCATTAGTCTCAATAAGCACCGACAAGAGGGGGAGATGTTCTTTATTTGTGGAAGGGAAGTCAGCCCTCTTTGAAACACTACCACCCTGAGTTTTTAAAGCATGAGTCAGCTTGATGCGTAAGCACATCGCCCCGGCAGGTGAGTTAGCCGACTCGTCTTTAAGCGAAAAGTCCCTGAACGCTGTTTCTCATGGGTCTTTGCGTGAGTATGTTTTAATAAGTCCGGCTCCCAGGATGAGAAACTTTTTCACTTTCACTCGGTTGAATAAAGTCAATAACCTGCCGTGTTTGTCTGTAGCAGGGGCAATGGCAGAATGATTACACGCACGGCCATTTCCATTTCATTCATTCTGAGTCTGAAGGCGCATATGAAGCATTGTGAGCCTGTGATACCAAGCTGAGCCGCCGACCCATCCGGCAGTGAGCACCGAGGATTTCTTTCGTCTGTTTTACTCTGTCATTTGCAATTCCATAAAGTCCCAAAACGTGGTGCATCCTGCTTTCTATTCAATTCCAGCCTTACCCTTGGCCTGATTTAATACTGTTGTGTTGATATATGCCGTATGTCTGCTTTCAGCGGTTCCTAGCTGTGAAGAGATTTACCTCCCAGGAATACTAAAGACTGACTTTACAGAACCAAGTACCTCTATAGGGTACTGAGGCTGAGAGTGGTTACGTCTTTCCACTTGGTTATGCATAACCCACCTGCTGCTCTCTGGGTTGATACAAAGGGGCGTAGGTCTGGTTTCAGTAGTGGGGGCAGACTTAAGTGATATCTATGCACATTAATATACATTTAATCAATCTAGAGATTAGAACAAAATCTTTTTTTCTGTGGTTTCTATAGTAATGATAATATGTGGGGTATGTTTGTTTTAGAGGACTGACACGGCGACCTGATGGCTTCCAGCAGCCTCTCTTAACTGAAGAGTGCACATCCATCTGTGAGATCTGTCAACCGTTTAACTAAAGTGGAAAACTCGCTGCCTTTTCCACTGAGCGATCCTCTCTGTGAGTGTCACTTAACCTTCCCGAAAAGAGTAAGGACAAACATTAAATAAATATAACTTGAAGAACGATGTGCCTTTTAAAAAATACAGAGCTTCTGGACCCTTTGGACTCATCGTCTCTGACACACACACACACGCGCACACACACGCACACACACACGCACACACACGCACACGGTGAACCAACCAGTTTGGCTACGTAGTTGACAACCAGCGAGTCAATCTTCTTCTTCCCCAGTCGAGGCAGGTGTCTGTTGAGATGCTCTCGAAGCTTGTCAACCGTCTGCGAATGCAGAAAAACACAAGCTGATTATTTTCTGTGTATGCATGGGGTTGTGTGAGACTGGGAGTCAGGCTTTGTGTGTTTTAAGCATACTTTGCTGTGTGCTCAGCAGGGTCAAATTGAGTTCACCTCGAACTTTTCCCTCGACTACAGTGTCCCAAAATTTGTTTAACCATGGAGAGGAGAAGAGAGAAGAGAAGAGAAGAATACCTGTGGATGTGAGAGGTATAACAGCACAGACAATGAGTTAAGGTCTAAAAACAGTGTAAAGTTTACAGAATGACCTGATATACTTATGCGAGGAAAAGGCAAAGAGGGAAGAAAGTGAGCAGAGAAGAGTGAAAGGAAAGAACAGGAAAGAGAGGACAGGGTAAAAGAATGATGATGGAGGGAATAAAAAGAGAAAGATGGGAGGGATCGTTCTAAGAATAGCTGAGAGACTGCTAGCATTTAGCCTGAACTCCATTAAATTGAAGCTATCTGCTCTTTAAAAACTATGCTGAGCACAGGAAAAACTGGAGGATATGAAATTGTCCATCAAACAACGTACAGTTAAAAAAAAAAAAAAAAAAAAGGACAGGACAGGACAGGGGACCTTAAGATGCCCTTTTTTTTAAAGTGTTGACTCATCTGAAGCGTAACAGGAGTTTCACCTTAAGAGATGACTATGGAGGGGAATGATCGGCTGTCAGCGTTCCACTATGGATCTTTAATGGTCTATGTATCAACCCATGTTAAAGGAAGAATAAACCACCCCAGGGGCTGTTAAACTGTCGTATGTCAACAATCTGGGACGTTCAATGCATCTCACTGAAGAGTTCTCCTACACATCCATTTTTTTTTTCTTTTTTTTTTTTACTTTGCCTCATCTGCTTCTATTACATGACGCCAAAGTAGGTGTTTGATCTCAAAAGCAACAATCTAGGCTGCGGCTGATGTGTTTTTGTTATTTTCCATTCTGCTGCAGCTCTTTGATTTTGAGCGGCAGGACGTTAACTGTTGTCTTTTTGGAAAGTTAATGGACTTTCTGCTTTTGAGATATTTGCATGTTTTGTCTCGACTCAATGAAAGACTTGTCCTTGAAATGAATGATTCGTTTGGCTGAGGTTTTTGGCAACGTGCAAGTTCAAGCTGAAAAATGCTTCCAAAATCTTTTGAGTGGCTTTTTTTTTTTTTTACTTTAAACCACAGGATTGTGATGCTACATTATGGCCAAAGGTATGTGGGCATCCAATCAGTTCAGCATACAACCCCCGGTGAATTGTCATTTTTATACTATTGTCTTTAAAACAAATGAGATATCACATGTTAATTAGTGAGCTTTAGACAGGGTGGTGAGGTAGTTCCAGACAAAGCCCGGCTAGCTGTTTCCCCTTGTTTCCCCTTGTTTCCAGCAAAGCTAAGCTAACAAGTTGCCGGCTCCACCGACATGTTTCCCATACAGCCTTGGCAGGTACGAATATGTTGGAGGTCTGTGCTTTTGAATGGAGGTGACCCATGTAATTATTATGCTTTAGATCAGAGGGGCTACAATGGTGACAGCCTTTATGTCCCTGCTTTATGCATAGCTGTTCCACCATGAAGGAGGGTGAAGATTAGAAAAGGTCCTCTCTTGACAAATTTTATTATGATTTCCCTTTTGAAGAGTCTATAGCCCAAGCCCTGAAAAAAGATACATTTAGCAGTGTATGTGTTTGTGCATGTGTTTCAGCCATTGACTGGCTTCAGCTTCTCTCTCTCACCAGGCCTATGAACAGCCTCTGTTGACGGTCCTCCTCCTGAAAGAGTGGCACAAGCTTCTTATCTGGAAGAGACCAGGCAATAGTGAGAACACGCACATAAAAGGGCCGTTTGAAGAAACCTTTGATGGTGCATCTACCCTAGGATGAGCACTACAGTTAGCCTCAGGTGTGTCAGTGCAGTAGCATCATTAAACGGGCCATCAGTAGGAATGGAAGAAACCCAAACTCTGACTTGTTTATGGCTTTAATAAAAAAAAAAAAAAGGACTGAACCTAAGACATTAATGGATTCTTTTTGGGTCGGTTTTTCGCTTTAAAAATACATCCCAAAGCTTGGGGGTTACGAGGCTGCAATCCTGTGTGTGTGTGTGTGTGTGTGTGTGTGTGTGTGTATCTGAGTGAGTGATAGTGAGAGTCAGAGAGAGAGAGAGAGAGAGAGAAGAGGGAGAGTGTGTATGCATGCTAGTTTTTTTTTATGTCAGCCAAACAAAAGTGGACCACGCTTCAGCTCGGTTACAGTAGATGAATTATTGCGCACTTGCATACACAAACACACATCTTTTGATCATTCGCACACACATGCAAGAAGCTGGCTTTTTGATGTTACAGTGTAATATGTTAGAGATATAAATAGTGCTTGCAGGGCACAGTTAACTGACAGGCTGCACTGCCAGATTCACTGTATGCCTGTTAGCAGTTCAAAGTTATCTGCACTGTTTTAAATTTACATCTTTTAGACTATTAGCTGACGTTTTTATTCTGAACGAGCAGGTTCCTCACATTTATTGACCTTGTGTCCTTTGACTTACAAGGTGGTCTCACTAATCATACTTAATGCATGTTGACTAATGAATTACGTGATCGACACACTTTCGATAATGTTATAAGGAAAAATGACAAATATTTCCAGCTACTCTAAAATGAGGATTTACTGTTTTTTTCTGTATTGTCAATGGAATCTTTTTGTTGGACAAAACAACCCTGAACTAATTGATAACAGCAGAATGAGAAACCAAAAAAGTTTAATCTGGCATCTAAAATACAAACACTGTGGATTAGAAATGTCTACTCTGTCCATTTTCTTCTAACATAGCTGCAAAAGCCAACATCTTCCTAGAACGACACATGTACAATATCATATAACAACCACAGCTATTAAGAAATCAGTGAGTCAGCTACTAACAAGAGTGCTATCATCTGTGCATAAGCAATCAAATGCAGTGAGTGTGAATGTCTGTGTTACAAGTGAATCTGAGGGAGGTTCAGGGTGTATGAGATCACGCGTGTGAATTAACTGAGGTAAGGGAAGGTCCCGGGTTGCGGTTGACACAAACCAGCTGCACTGAGACAGAGAGACAGACAAGAGGAGAGAGAAAAATAGGGAGAGGGGAAGGAAGTACCTAACTCCCCACTGTTATATAATTGTAGCATTCGTCAATTCCGCTCTTTTAATTTTTTTCATTTTTTACCCCTTCTCCCTTTCTTCCTCCCTCCTTTTCAACCTCTCCTTCCAAGATAAATCGGTGTGGTGGTTCTGTTTAGCTGAATTCTCCAGTGGGCATGAAGAATGCGACCTCAGAAGAACACACTTGCACTCAGTTTTGAGCCCCATATAATAAGCCAAGGTTTTGTTATTTATGACATTCACACTCCCTGCATTGTGTGTGTGTGTGTGTGTGTGTGTGTGTGTGTGTGTGTGTGTGTGTGTGTGTGTGTGTGTGTGTGTGTGTGTGTGTGTGTGTGTTGCATCTATGGATTTATGTTTGTGGTGTGTGTTCAGTGTGCTCATGCGGTCTTACCAAGACGCCAGGTGTCCACCATTGATAGAACTCTACAAAATAAGAAGAAAAGCATTGTGAGAAAACAATCCCTCAAGCCAGCATTATAATAAGAGTCTTACTTTTCATGCTGTAAGAAGAGGCAGTGTAATGCTACACTGCTGCAGTCGACAGCAAAAATATAAATATAATATATTTATATATAACTATAAAAGCAAAAAACTGGTAGCAGGTGCTGGAGTTTGGCCTAAGGGAAGCTAATTATGAACCACAAGGCTGCTGGTTTGATCCCTGGCACAAACAAGACAGAGTTATATTTAATTCAGAGCAGTTTTACATCATTGGTGTGTATAGGCACATTCCCATCATCAAGTCACTTAATCATAAAATGTTGAGGAGCTGAAGTTATGATCTAATTTCTATGATATTTTAACTGAAATTTAATATATAAGAGTGAGTAAAAGTTTTTGGGCGTTTGTGCAGATGGTTAAAACCAAAAGTGAAAGTGGTAAGACAGTCAGCAACAACAATGTGAACAATGTTTTCTAGAACGGTTTAAACTGACGTTGATACTAGAAACTGAACATCTGCCATCCACAACCCTGTTGCACATTTATATTTATACCTCCTTGCAAAGACTGTGTAGAGGCATATTTATCAAGGCTCCCAATGGGGCATGAAAATTAAGGATTATTTAGATTCTGGACAGGATGCATCAAATAACCAGATTTTTTTATTGATGTGTCTTTATAGACCCAGAAGCACTTTTAAACTTGCTTCACATCTTTACTGCATGAGATTATGTTTTATTCTTAAACTGATTGATGAACTTATCTGAGCTGAGAAACAACTTAATCATTTAAACACATTTATGGGTGTCAATGCACTCCAGCATAGCTAAAGGGTAAGGCTGTCGGTTTTCTATATCTTTATTATTAAAAAAAAATCTCAGCTCAGAAGCAATAATGAATTGTCTGTATAGGCAAAGCTTGCAGCGACCTCCTCTATTCCAGCTCCATTGTGGTCAAAACTCTATTAAAAACATCAATGAACTACAATGCTGCGCTGGGAGAGATGGG